TCGTAATTCTCTCTCAGAAAGTTGTTTCAAGAGTTCAAGTTGCTGTTCCATGACATCATTTCAACAAGGCAGTGCCCAGGCAGTGTCTTATATGCTTTTTGTTTATGGTGTTGATCAACACAGGGAAATCCTTGGATAACTAAGGTTTTACTTAAACTGTACACTTTCATATCATTTTTGGCACTTTATTAACAGTGGGTTGCCAAAGCTCGCATCCATTTTAAAGTAAATTCAGCACTAACCAAACTATTTGCTACAAATGCAAACACTATTAAGAGCTTTTTTACTCACACACAGCAGCCAAACAAGCACAAGACTAGTGAGAGCATACCTTTTTTTCTGACCACAAACAGCTGACATTGATCATGACCATGTTTAGGACCAGGAGATTCAGAGTTGGAAAACTCCCAGCTGTATATGCAAATATAACTGCTGGTAAGGACTCCACCCATTCCCTCCTCTTAAGAAGTGTCAGAGAAGTTCATGAAAGATTTGCACTGCCAAATGCCTTGAGAATAGAACAGAATTGTTGTAGTCTTCCAGATGCCATACAGCTGGCAAAGCATCTGAATCAACTCACCTCAGCATCCGGTAAGGGTGTTACAGTTGTAGCCCACTGATCACAGGTAGGTGACAGTGAACTAGGAGAACACATTGGTCAGAATTCAGACAAAACAATCTTTTGTCCATCAAACGAAGGCTCAAGCACTGTGCAATCCCTCGCCACAGCCTCCAAAGATCAGGGTGCAAGAAGGCTTCTCATGGACGTTACCACCTCTGGACCAGAGCCTTTGACACAAGGCATCTCTTGCAAGATGTACAGTTTATTACAATACATGCCCAGCTAGTATTATCTTTACTCAACAGCTCAACACTAACAGCTAGAACATTCTTTCAATGCCCTGGCGCCCAGTGTCCACCATAAATGTAAGCCAAACTTTCTCTTGCAAAGAGATTTTTTTCAAGAAATGCACACCAGGATTGACATCAACTACCAACTGAAGGGCACCAGTGGTGGTCAATCAAATTTCTGTGGGGTGCGCTGTGCCACCCTAGGCCTCCCATCTAGACACATCACTGCAGACAGCTCAGTTGTTTTTTGATGACTTGAAAAATCTCATTGAATTGCTATGTTACTCTAGATTACATGACATGTATCACTTGCAACCATAGCAGAGCGCACACAACAGAAGTGATCATGAACAAGTTTCACAAACTACACAATCTTTTTTACCTGGTGAGATCTGTGACAAAGTGCACCTGAAGACAAATTCCCACGGACTGACATGTCATTTATATGTCAGACTGGAGGAACCTGCTGTCGTCGTTTCAGCAGAAAGAAAAGAGAACTAAAGATCAATTTGAATGATTTTCAGACTTGCTCTGTCCATAGCCCTATCCACCTTATTCCTGCACCATGATGCCCAAGAAGCTTCGAGTGACTTCTGGACACTTCTGGCAAAGCATAAATAGCTAATACAATAAATGCTTAATATCCTAACATGATAGAAATGTGGAAATAAATAAAAATATAAATCAACCTTGTTGTTGGGATGCTCGAATGCTTGCGTGCCGATGTTTGTAATAGATCTGTGAACCTGCAAGGAGAGAAACACTTCAGTCAGAGGATTTTATTTATAGCCTACACAAATTACTTATGCCAATCATTTCCTGACAGCTTTTTAATTGTGTTTACACTGAGTCTCAGACAGAAAACCACAGAGCAATGTCATTACGCAGCAGTGTCTGATGTAGTTTTTTAAACCAGTACTTCAAGCGATCAAGAAGAAAGTGACAGAGTTGTTTGAGCTTTGGTTAAAATAATACTGCATTTGACTTAAATTTAACATTCTGAATTTAACTGATTTAACTTAACTGACAAAATAATATTTGACACTACGACCATGCAATTCTAACAGCAAGCTTACTGAACTTACCTACAGAGCAAAATCACACTCTCTGATCGCACCATCAAACAAAGGCTCAAGCACTGTGCAATCCCTCGAGACAGCCTCCAAAGATCAGGACACAAGAAGGCTTCTCATGGACGCTACCACTCTGGACTAGGGAGTCTTTGACACAAGGCATCGATCGCAAGATGTACAGTTTATTACAATACATTCCCAGCTAGTATTATATCTACTCAGCTGCTCAGCTCTAACTGCTAGAACCTGGTGCCCATGGCCACCATAAATGTAGGCCAAACGTCCTCTTGCGAAGAGATGGACCAAAGAATCAGCTGTTTCTGACTCCTGTCCTTTGGAGTTCCACACTTATGGTAGAGGACCACCACATAAAGCCACTGTCTCAATATCTCAACATCTAAACTGTTGGCACCACTCAAACAAAGCCACTTACAGTCTGCTAGAGTATGCACATACTCTCTTCAGAGGCATCCAGCACATATCTTGTCCTCCTACTAACTGATTTGATTTAGGCTGCATCCCAAAATGCATACTACTATACTACCCTTCTAAAAAGGACCATTAGGACTATTAAGATTAAATCTGATGCTTTTGTTTTCTAATGGGAATTGGCTTAATGTATAATGTGTGTTTGAATAATATATTTAGGATCTTGCAGCTGATCTAAGAGCGAGAAACAGCATTGCTTGACTTCAGTACCTTTGTTTGATCTGTGCCTGTTGTAAGTGGATGGATATAATGTTTGTTATACTGGCTCTGTGATCAATACAAACTATGAAGAAACACTTTGTGCCAATTTGACCACATAACCATTTTTGATATACTTAACATGACTAACGCTACTCTAAAAAGGCATTATAAACATTTTGGGGCCATTTAAAAATTAAGCCCCCAACCCCGCATAGTACAGGCATAGGCCCCTTATCCATGACCCTACAGTGATGCCCCCGTTTCTGTCTAAGCCACTGGGCTAGCACATAAAACTCCTTTGGTTCTGATACAGCCCATGGAATATGTTATATAATTACTGTGACTTAGATATAGTTGTGAGCAGCATTCAGTGATTAGTTCAGTGCACCTGAATGTACAGAGCTGTACAGAGCTGTTATTTACAAACCCAGTTAATCAGAAACAAATGAACTAAGAAAAGTCAAAAATGTCCTCAGTAGGTGCCCAATACATCAGTTTCTTCATCAGAAGATCACTCCTCATTCTCTGAATTGACTGAAACATTTTCCTCTGTCTTCTGTTTCACTATCAGCATCTTGTAAATCATGGCTATCTTCTCGATCAATGATTTTGTAGCCTGGGAACCTTTTTTTTTAGCCATTATAGTGGCAGCAGATTGAAATATGCAGAGAGAAATATATACACAATATGTGGCCCAGAGTTATGCCACCTTGTGGGAACAAAAGCTGGTCCCCACAATGTAAATCAAAAGCTGGTCCCCACTGTTACGGGGCGGCGGGGAGGCAGACCCAAGTGCAGAAATGGAAACAGAAAAAACGGAAAAATGAGTTTATTATGGCACTGGGTTGTGAGTCTGACACATGCATATGAGGTGACCCAAAGCCAGGTTCGAACCGGCGATGTACTGATCGGAAGGGGGGAAAAGAAAAGGCGGGAAAACGACGAACGGCAGACAAAAGAGACGCTGAGAGCAGCGTGCTCAAAGGCTGAACTAGAAAGGCGAAAGGACAGATAAAAGGAAAACAAAAAACACTTCCACTCCAAGAACGAAGGGAAGGCAGACTTTTTTTCCCTTTAAGTAGCTTTAGGACAGTTTCTTTTCTCAGCCCTCTTTTCTTTTTCTTTTTTAGTTTTGGGGCAGTTTCTTCTCTCAGCCCTCTTTTTCTTTTTTAGTTTTGGGGCAGTTTCTGTTCTTTTCTGTTCTTTTCTGTTCTTTTCTGTTCTTTTCTGTTCTTACACTAAGTACCGTACCGGTCACCCCTCTACAAACACCACTGTTTGCCTTGACCTTAAGTAGAGGAGTCCGCAGGTGTGTCGCATTGGGCCTAATCAGCCCGCGGACTTCTGGGAATTGGAGTTCCCTGAAGTTATGGCCCTGTGCCGCCGTCGCCCTCTGCTGGCAGCTGGCGGCGCAGGCTGGACACCCTGCCGCCGTCGCCCTTACACCCACAATGTCAATCATATAATTTAAGGTGAGGGTAACGTTAGGCTAGGGTAGGTTTGGTTTTGGCTAGTAGTAGAACCAGGCCAGGAATTATAACTGTGAAATTAAAGTAAGTCATTTGGTGGATTTTAAGTATTCTAAATTCCTGTGGTCAGATCCAAATATGGGTGCCATTCTCCTGATGTAGCTGTCATGGCAAACAGTTCTCTGAGGACTTAGTGGATGTGTTTTAAATGTTCATTCACTGAAACAGAGTAGATTGAAATATCGTCAGTGTACATGGTAACACACCTGTCAGTCATGCAGCACCTCATTAACACTGAGGACTGAAACACAGAGGTGGCAACAGAGAGCTCCTAGTAGTGAGGGAGACACTCTTCCATTCGTCATGCTGACCAATTCTGATTAAATTATAGATACTTTGAAAGTGTACTTTTGTGAAAGAAACGTTTTTTTTGAGGGCTGCTGAAACTAATGCAAGGTGTGGGTTGTTGCTTTACAGTTGTGTGCCCAGGAATTTTTTGCATTGTCAACTGAGAACTTTGCATAGCACAGAGTTTGACTGGGCCACGAGCCAGGGACTTTGCATCATGATAGCTGAGTTTGATTGGGCTACTAGTCTCACAGTTTGAATCATGGTGGCTGAGCAAGACTGGGACACTAGCTGGGGACTTCATCGTGATAGCTGAGTATGACTGGGCTGAGAGCCAGAGACTTTGCATTGTGATAGCTAAGATTGACTGCCCCATAAATCAGGGACTTTGCCTTGTGATAGCTGAGTTGACTAGGCTGTTGTCCATTATTGTACGTTTCAGTCTTTTAATGATCCTTTTTTTGTCATATAATGAACATGTGCAGGCTGTGAATATTATATCATAACTGTCATTTAAATAGACTTATTTGTCATTTAAATAGACACAATGTCACACATATTTTGGACATAGGGAGATATGTACATATATTTTTCTCTGTAATTTTTGCTGATAAGCATATCATATATTGAAACAGATATTCAATAGACATACTTTGGATATTAAGAAATATATGTACAAATTTACATATGGAATTTCAGTGCTAAGACATTACATAAAGTGAAATATTGAGGATGTGAAAACAAACATATTTTTGTTCCACATACTCCTGACACATCATGCATAAGACACAAAACATAAAAACAATTATAAACAAATGAACAAATTTGTGTTGATTTACATCACAGTTATTTAGAGGGATCAAGTTTATGTAACTGTTCTATGTAGTTTATGTAGACATTTTTTGACATCTAAAGTAGACATACTTCTATTATTCAGCGGCGTCTCTCTGAGAACACCCTAGAGGAAACAATCACACATGAGCACCTTTAACACCCAAACTCTCAATCTGGAGAAACCCATAAGGGAATAGGAACATGCCTGTTTTACACTGAACATTACCATAATCATCAGTAGCCCCTCTCAGTGTAGGTTGTATTAAGATTCTCAAGGGAACAGGCACATTTCTCTTGTCTTTACTCTCCACTGAAGTGAAAAGGAACATTCTGACATCCCTAAAGAGTTGTTTGAATTTGAAGAACAAAGAATGACAGTGATTCACCAATTTCACTCAGACAAATTCTGCGTACATGAACTGATTCTGACTCTGATATAATAGGTAAAATAATACTGAACAACATGAAGACGTCAGCTTGCACAACACATAAGAATCTTTCCCTCTTACTGATGATGATGTGTGTCTATAGTAAACAAAGAGAAACTTCTGTCAGTAAAAGCTCTGAAGATCTTTTGTAGTCTTCTGAATCCAGAAATGAACCAAAGTCTAAATAATCCAGATTACCCCATGCACCTTGAAAAAATTTTTTTCATTTAAACCTGGAAAAAACAACAGAATTTTACATTTTAGAATTAAAGTTAAAAGTTCTCACCATTCAAACTTTAGCAAATTTGTGATATTATGTTAAAGTCTTTATACAGAAATGTATTTTAAAGTCTTATTAGTTTTTTCCAGTGTATGCTACCAGCTGATTGAGGACAAACCAACCACCAGTTAAGGGCGCCCTCTAGTGGCCCAAACAGAGGCCTTCATTGGAAAAAATGGACCAAAGAAATTTGACCAATGTCAACATTAGACATGTAACCAACAATATGGTCTTAACATCTAAATTGGAAGACTTTCATTCAGAATGCATGTCTACCCTTCTCTGGTATTACTGTAGATTAACTTGTGCTTTTGTGCATCTCAGTGGTTCTCATGCTGTGAAATACACATACAGCTTATACTCATTTCAGTGTTATGCACAGGGTGTAAATGTATCTTTTAATTTGTCTTTTGTACAAAGGCTTTAATGGCCTTGACAAATATTTGAGAGATTCTGTTACATCTCTCAAAACAATATTAACACCTTAAAATCCCAGGTTTATCACATACTAAGTATTATTATTTAGTAACTACAGAGAATTCAACGCAAATTTTTAACCTAAGAGTTATTCTTAGGTTACAGAAGCGTGTAATACAACTTCAGGCCTGCTGGTGGGCCCTGGCTATTTGAAGGGCCCTGGCTATTTGAAGGGCCATTTCCACTAAATTTTTAGCTGTTGATAGGAGATGCCATATTGAAGCCACAACTAAGAGTCTCAAGTTAAAGGCTAAAGTAAACACTACATATTAATACCAAAAATGCAAATGAATCTCTGTAGGGAATTCATACTAATACTAATGTTATGAAAAAGCTGAGGCAGGTGTAATGTTCCCACAGTGCATCTCCTCTCAGTAATAGCAATTGGACAGAACTTCTTCACCACATTTAATGATCTCATCTTCAGCTTACAAAGATGCAGAACTGTTCTGACTTCCAATGTTAAACATGGAGAAAAATATCTTACAGATTAAATGTAAACATAATGCTGTGTCCTACATGGAATGTCTGTTACATGAAAACTACACTGCAGCACAATGTAAGCACAAGAACAAGCAAATATATGACTTTTGCCCTCAATATTGACCCTATAAATGGTGAAAAAATGCACAGCCAGCTAAAAAAAAAAAGAATTTAGTACAGTTCTTTCTTAAAAGCGAATGTTGTGTTTTAGTCTATTTTCTGGATTTACAAAAACCTGAAACTGATATTAAAAATGAATTACAAACACCTTGAAGTCTAGCGATATTTACTGTATTGGTTTGAGTGCCTGTTATTATCCTGGTTCACAGCAAAATCACCACGGTTTAACTAATCTTACTGAATCCCACAGCGTTTCATTTTTACTCCACTGAATACTGCAAGAGTGAATTCCACTCCGGTGACTGTCCCTGAGCGTTCACTATAAAAATATCTTTACAAATTTACAAATTCCTACAAATTGTAGCATTTGCTAATTTCAGTCTCAAGACAGCTTTTTGTTGCTTCTGCTGCCTGAATTTTGCTGGCGGTTGATGAAGTCCAGGATGAGATGAGCAGCCTTGCGGGGGCGCTCCACAGCCACAGAATGGCCACAGTTGTCCAGGAGATCAACCTGGCACCCGGGCAAAGCTTCGGCCAGCACAGAAGCTCCAGACACATCCAGTACCTGAGGAGAACACAACCACACATTTATATAAGCTTTTTCAACGGTGTCATTTAAAAGACAAATGGACTTCTGTTAAAAAAGACTACATAACATGTCCAAAAGTTTGTAGACATCTGCTCATTCAATGTTTCAATCTGAAATCAGGGGTATTGATGAGGGATTTGTCCTTTCTTTGCTACAGCAACAGTCTCTACTCTTCTGGGGGGGGCTTTACACTAGATGTAGTCATCCCAAAGGTATTGGATGGAGCTCCATCATGCCAGTCCCACTGCTCCACAGCCCAGTTATTTTCTATAATTTCCATTATTTCCAGATTATGTAAACTGTGTGTGTGTAATTGAACTGTCGTCTGTGTTAGCAATGCACATTTAAGTAGTTCAATTCACTAATTACAAGGGGTGTCTACATACTTTTAGCCTTTATTATGTGGAACCTACAGTTAAATGTATAAAAATAAACCCCCAAACGCCAAATATATTGATTAAAAAGTTGTGAAATTTGAATCTGACCATTAGATAAACTCACTGCAACTAAATGGTGACTGTCCTAGAGAGGTATGGAGCATATTAACTCTTCTATAATTAACTAAAGTTTAGTGCCTTAGGGCTACAAAGATATACCTTAAAATATATACCTGTATCAATTTCATACACCATTTAAAAATCCCAGCTTGTTTTATTCTACATTACAGGACATGTCATGATAAATGGACTATTAAAAAAGGAAAAGTATTTGGAATAAGCTGTATACATTAATGTACATCTGAGTTAAGAAGGTTTTTTCCTTCCCATTTTTAAGAGGTTTTGTCAGTGGTTGATATGGCGTAGTGGCAAACGCACCCTGCTATACCAATAAGAGTCTTTGGCCAAAACTCCAATCCTACATTCTCCTACCTCCACATGATTAACCTGTAAGTTGTTCTGGATAACAGTGTCTACCAAATGCCATAAATGCAAATGTTACGACAACGATGCCCGTTTTATTATGCTCACAATCTTATGGTGATATCCTTACCTGATCCTGTTTGCCCCAAATGACCTGGAGTGGTGCAGAGATGAGGTGCATGTTCTCATGCAGGCTTTGCCTGGATTCTTCTCTGACTAGTTCCGTAAAAACTGAAAAAGATTTAGAAGCTAGATTGAGTGAACGTGCATCAATGTAAATCTGATACATCAGAATTTTTTGCACTTCAGCACCTTCTACAGGTATACAGCTCATTCGTATTAAGGGCAACTAACCCTCACGGTAGAAGTCATTATGTGGAATACGGACATCAACCAATCCTTGCAGAACCTATTAGAAAAATAAGCAAGAAGGAAAAATTATAATGCCTCACAATGACATAATAGACATAATGAGAATCAAACCATAAAGACAATATATTCTTAACGATGTGCACATAAATGTACTTACTGTCACAATGTGTGGCCTGTCATAGCAATGTTTACAGACTTTATCTACTTTTCATTTTATCTTTATTGTAAACAGAATCTTCCTCAATGTAAAACCCTTGTTTTAGACAGCAGTTCTGATGATAACTGCTAATAACTGACCAGAACTGCACCCAAGCAAAAATGAGATTTACCTTGCTATTAATCTATATTTTCCAATTTATATTTTCCAGACTGTCTGTGAAGCGATACCTGCTGAGGGACCTTGAAGCGGACAAAGGAACACAGTTTCAGCATCTCCTCCATCTCCTCTGGAGTGGAAGGAATGAGAGGGATACTACTAACATCCTTGGTCTTCTCCAAGTCTCTCAGACCTTTCACAAACGTGCTCTCTTCAGGGTGGTTCAGACCTACATAACAGGAAGAGAAGGCAGATCAGTCTGATAAACTAAGTCAGGTACTTGTGAAATCACATACTGACGTCTTCACATGTATGCCGCACTGACCTGCAGGACAGATGAGCGTGAGACTGCAGAGGTCTGAGGGGTAGCGGGCAGCATAAACTCCAGCTACATTACCACCCATAGATGTGCCCACCAGGTGGAAAGGCTTCTTATTCAGTCGGATACATTCTACAAACTGCAAAAGAGGGCAGAAATATAAAAACCACAGTAAATACCGCGGGTTTATGTTACTGCATTACATCAGTCTGAAAAAGCTTGGAATTATTAGTCATATCAATTATTATTTGCTAAAAAAAATGATACCTTGACTTTAATACCAAATCAAATGAATGCTTGACACGTGACACATTACAAACTGAACGGGTGTGGCTTAAACCAAAAATGAGTCTGGGGTGCTGAATGTGAGTATGCTTGAAGTCATCAATAGATTTCAGACCAATCAGGAAGCGCTAATGTCACCAATATGCATAATTATGCTTACTGGCCCAAAGATGGCTATAGAAAAATGACTACTTAAGTACTTAAATTTGGTACTGAATGACAATTCATTGATATGGATTTCATTCGGTAAGTTCCATAAAAGTACTAAAAATAGCCAGCTATAATAATAACAACAACTTACATAACATAGTCTGAAAAATTTTAAACTACACAACATAAACTAGATCAAAATATTTTATGCGATATTTCAAGTACTTTGGGAACAATATGAACTTGTAGATGTTCAATATAGACACTGTAATTATCTAGTTACAATAATTTCTTGTCAGATTTCCCACCTCATGTGTTGATCACCACTTTTAAAATACGAGGCACTCTGGGTATTGATTTTATTATAACTACACTCAAAGTTATACAGCCTTTTCAATCAATATGGAATCATCTGCCACTCGCTTCATCATTCTAGACTTCATTTTTAACTACTTCCTATGTACTATTTGAAACATATAGGTGTTGAGTACTAGCGTCATAGTAGATTTTTACATGGAATAGATCAAGTTTATGCACAAGCATCTCAATATGCTTGAACAATGATTCCAAAATATTTTTAACTGTAGTGTAATTTCACATGAAATAAAAGCTAACAGCAAAACCAAATACTGTGCAGAATGCTATGAGTGTCGTTACTTTGACAGGACATAGTTTTCTGACAGTCCATAATTTTTTTAACTCCAGTTTTGCAAACTCCTGGTCTTTTTCCATTTATTATGGATTATCTTATATCTATATCTTCTCAGAAATATTGCCTAAAAAATGAAGAAATGAAGGCCGTTTTGACTGGAATTAAAATAAATGAAGGGCGGTCTCTGACTTTTCCACAGTACTGTATGTTACTGCAGCCCCTGCAACATCCAAACAACATCTTAATATTCAACACAAGGGACACTCAAACTTATTAAAGAGCAGCTAGCAGAAGCCTCTTTCCATCACACACGGGCTTAATCAGTGTGGAATGAGGCTGGCATCAAAGGATTATGTTCGACGCAAGGACACAGACACGCTGAGTGAAAAGAAGGCCAGAAGAAGGGCATCTATTTTAGAACCATGTGGACAGAGAGGCTAACTAAGTGTTCCGAAAATCAGGGCACAAAGACCAATCACTCTTCTCTTAATCAATAAGATACTAAGAACTCACTCTGCAGTTGTTAAAAATAGGTTTTAGTGACTCATATTCACGTAAAAGTTGCACTACATTTTAGCAAAACCATAAAAAATAGGTCAGCGGTTGCAAACCAATTTGGTCAATTATGTTGATAAGAACTAATTTTATTAAAACATCTGTTTTATAAAGGACGTCTTTCTTCTTTTTTGGTTATGGGCAAATCAACAGCAATGACTCATTGTAAGTAGTAAATGGTCGCAGAGCTAAACACAAATCCTTCAATTTTTGCATGTATGAACAAGTGTGAACTATATTCTCATGATAATATAACTAAATGTGGAGATATTTCCAAAGAAAATACATGTAAAATAATCCACTTGCATAAGGAAGAGGAAAGATGAAAAAACTGTTAAAGAAATTATTAAAAGATACACAGAAAATGGGACTTAACAACCATTCAAGACCTGGTAGACACCAAAACTGTTCCCATCAGATAAACAGTACTTATAGCTTTCATCTTTGAGAGAGAGGAGAAAAAACAAGCTCTGCTTTCTCTTCAGATCTGAAAAAATCCACAGATGTTTCTGTCCATCCTTCCACTGTGAGAAGACAAGTCAGTGCTATGAGTCTGAAAATATGTGTAGCTGTAAAGAAGCACTTACAGAGAAAAGGAAATAGACAAAAAAGAATAAAATCTGCAAATCAAGAGAGGAAGCTGCTGGTGTTCTCAGAACAATGGACTGTGAACTGACCACTGGAGTCCAGACCTCAACATCACTGAATGTGTTTGGGATTGGATCATGAAAAGCAGAAAATGCAACCAACTTTTAAGACTGAACTTTGGAGATGTAGAAAAATATCCCTTTAGATTACTTTATAAACTGAAAGCAAGTCTCCCAAAAAGAACGGAAGCTGTAATAAAGATGGACTGGACACAATGAATACAGAAAAGATTATATTTAGTTATTGATATTTCTGTGTTATTATGTGGTAAATATATGTTTTCTGTTTATATGAAAAATAAGTTTTACTTGTTGAAAATGAAATCAATGAGGCGTCTCTGATTTTTGCACAGTACCACAGATCAGGTAAAATGTATACATTTAACACAGTGAACTTCATTCATATTGTCAATGTGAACATAGGTAACTTTGACAACGTTATGCTCTAGCAGAGCTCAGAAATAATCAACAATACCTGATGTATCCTTTTGACCTGGGCCTCAATGGAGTAGTCCACTGCGCTAGTGCGTGAGGTGCCCTCATGACCAGGCATGTCAACACACACCAGATGCATGTTCGTTGGGAGGAACTGGAAATACAAAATAACATCAGTCAAAACGACTGACCTGTTTTTCATATTAACTCAAAGATGTGAATTTTTTGGAAAAAACAGAGGGTTCAATATTTAGTGCACTGCCCTAAATTAATCAGCATATTAATTATCTCTCAGTATAATTTTACCATGATTAAGCAACTGTAAAATACAGACATACTTATTTTAGACTAAGTCACATTTTCTTGCATTTTATTGGTTTATCTGAAGTCTTTTTCTAACATGTGTATATCAAATAGATTCATTATTTACTTTTACATGACCATTTTCCAACCTTAAGCAGCATTAATTAAAAGCATTTGTTTTTCCTACTGTGCCTTTAAGACTGGCATATGTAAATGACCTCTGTTCTGTTCTCTGTGCTTCCTAGCAGCCAGAAACAGCACAACGTTTAATAGTTTTCCCCACATCTTTCGCCCCCAAAACTCTGCTACAGATAATCCGCAGTAACAACACTCCACTTGAACATGAATGAGCGGGACTAAACTGCCATAGGCCATAAAGTGTGTGGTCATATGTAAAGACATTCATGGTTGTGACATCACAACCACGATGAATTCAAAACAGGCTGTTTTTCCCGTTTAATTTCCATATATGAACTGTAGGGATTTCTTACTTTATAAAAGCCAGTTTTTTTTTCCCATGATCCTTTAAGATTTTCCTTCTACTTAATGTACTTGCAGATACAACGTAAGTACATTACTACAACGAAGCAGAAATTACACCCTTACCTTCACCAACCCCAGCCACATATCTTTGTGAGCAGAGAAACCATGAAGCATGAGGACAGAGGGTTTGCTCCCCGGCTTCCCTCGGTGTGTATAACAGAAGCGATAACCTTCATGCTCTGCGTAATCCACCTGCAGCCCCAGCCTCCTCCTCCAGTACCTTAAAAATGGAACAGTAGAAACGCTGCTAAGCAAATACACAAAGGACACCAAGTCATGCCTATTTATTGAGCAAGATTTACATTTCGAGCGCTGAATCGACATTCCCCCTGCTGAGCTATGAGAAGATACATGCACAACAAACAAATAAAATTCTGCAGCGTGCTGTGTTAAATCAGCATCCCATTCGTCTAGGGCATGTAAAAGTGTGCTAAAAAGAAGCACTCTGCTATTTACCTCATGCTGATTAATGACTAGAGGTACAGATGGAGTAAACAAGGTATTCTGATTTATCACCATGTCCAACAACAAGTAGTGCTTGCCAGAAATGGCTCAGAGAACATTTTAAAGGATTCATTCATTTTTCAGGGGTTCAGTGACCTTGAAGGAGTGCATCAGTGCACCCTTGAGCCCCACAGCGGTTACCGTGACACTGGCAGCAGCAGGACACGCTTCGCCTGTGAGTAATTACAAGGAGCAACGTCCTCCGGGCAGATTGTGTAAGCTTTGGCCGACATATTCAAGCAATACACATTTCTTCTTTTTGAAATTTCCCACATAATGTTGGATTGTCATGGTTACATTCTCAATTAAGTAAGAAATAAAACCAACAGAAAACAGCTATTAGGGTCCATTTAGCAGTGTTAAGCTTTATATTCATCAAAGAGTCTTTCAGTATGAAGAGTTTTCTTTTTTAAACTACTGTTAAAAGCACTTATTGAAACTCTTTTAAATCAAAGGTGGCTTAAACACCTGAAAGCATTTGAGTTCTGATGGGTCATCAAACACGAGGGGATAAATGGGACTGTAACATTATTCCCAAGTTTTGTCCTTTAGCATCTGAAAAATGTTTTAATATTAAGTTATTCAAATACCAACAAAGAAAACAGGCTAATTAATTTAACATTTTAAAAGCTAGGTTTAATTCATCTGCAGGAACTTCTCCAGATCACCTTTCACCTACTTAAGCACTGCTAGGCCAAAGGGAGACAGCACTGAGATAACTATCCTGTACTAGCACAGATAAGAGAGGGACTGATGAAAGAGAAAACTTTGTTGTAGTGGTGCAGTCACAATGACTAAGGCCTGTATATTTGATTTAACAGTTAAAGCACTCCAATCTTCAGCCAAAAATCTCATTTATTGCCCCCCTTATCTCAAAAATTGCCAGCAAAGACAAGATTAGCGACTGAAGGTCACTTCTTTAGTTCTGCACAGGAGCTATGAGGTTAGTACTAACTTGTAGCTAGAAATACTGCATGGCTAATAGGGATGTTTGGATGTGCTCGTGTACTCAGGTAAGTGATTCGGGTGCCAGTATTCAAATACTGTCACTATCAAGATATTTGTTGCGTTTCATCATCGGAAGATAGAGAAAACACACAGATCAACAATTTAGTGAAACACTGATTTTAGGTTTTAAGACAACTGTTAGAAGTTTGCTCATATTTGTGAGTAAGTATGTTATTTTGCTACTCCGGAGGATGCGTTTTAAGGACTGAGAAGGCATAGATAGCGCGTTTTTGTCACTAAATAGGATAGGCTGACGTTAGCTAGGGGAAAAGATATTTCTCTTAAAAACCAACATGTTGGCACATCGTCCACTGAAGAGGAAAAACACCTGTAGGAGACAACAAGTTTTCATCAGCATTCAGTTTCACTAGGTAGCTGTAGTTTTAGCTCATTAGGTCATCTAAGGCAGTGTCTGTTAGGTTAACGTTACTCATGCAATTTGAAAACCTACCCATGTCTCTCAGCTGTTTTTTAATAGTAAAATACATTCTGAAATGTATTCCTGTGGATGATGCAGATTTTTTTGCAACACCGGTGTAGTCACCTAAAAAGGTAAGTCACAGCTCTACACTAATTTCAGCTGAAATCTTTATTTCTCTTTATATCTTTATTTTATTTTTTTCTTTCCTTTTTCCTTCTCTGCAGGTAACCGGATATCCATTCACAAACTCTTAAGGATACTCCAATATCAAAACTAGTCAGAACGCACATCCCTAATGCCTTCATCATCACACGTGCCTCAAACTGTGGCGACAGAGGCTTTTCTAGACTGGTCACCACTGATCAGAAGAGTCTGAATGAAAAAAAGAAAGCTGAAGCTTTTTTGATCAAACCAAAAAAAAGTTGTCTCTCAAGTTACTTTCAGAACCTTCTTTAAAAGGCCCTGTTCAGATTCTCCTTTCACTCCTTCTCCCTGTTCAGATTCTCCTTTCACTCCTTCTCCCTGTTCAGATTCTCCTTAAAGTCCCCTTTAAATACATGTCCATGTACAGGTGCTGCTAATTCTGATTCGAGAACAGTTGCCATAAAGTCTGACATCATGAAAATGATAGCATTCAAATTGAATACAATGGGGCATAATGGCAAATGTAGTGTCTATGATTATTTTGCACAATCATGTTTGTGTTGTGTAGTTTAGCCACACAGACAATCAAGGTTAACGTGGAAAACTTTATAGCTCACATACTGACTTTCTTAATAAGTCATTGTGGTTCCACAGAGCAACATTTTGTGTGTAAACTGGGCCGAGTGACACCCCTGCATGTCGAACTGTTAAGTAATCTCAAACAGACTTGCTTATGTATGTGGCTTCTGACACTGTATGACATACTAACATCTATAAAAATGGATTGAAGATGGATGGTACTTCTGTTTTTAGCTTCATACTGCTACATAATAAACATATGCATTAATAAGCTTCCATTACATCAACCTTGTAGCTCCAGTTCAAAACTAAAGAAGCAACCTTGTCTTAGCTGATTAATTACATTCAAATGAGTTGAAAAGAATGTGTAAAAATGTGTTTGATTTCTGCACCACTGCTTTAAATCCCAGATGAAGACTATGGCTAAGAAGGAGCACGGACAGCTGAGTGTTGTAATGAAGTGAGGGATGACTAAACTGAAATGACAAACACAAGTTCAGCCTCTATCTCTAGATGTAGACTAAAGGGCACATGAGACCTAACTGGAACAAAACACTGAGCTCATTTGTCCTTTGATACACTGAGGGGTTTTTAAGATCGTTATGCAATGTGACATTATGACTCTAGGTGTCTGAAAGCTTGCATAAAGATTACAGATGCTCTTGTGCAATAAGGAGATTCTAGTAAGGGGAAAAACATTCAAAATAACCATGAAAGCAGTATTACTTAATCCAAAAAAATGAAAACAACTGTTACTCTGGTTGCCCTGGGTGTGTTTATCAAATGGGTCCTCATTTCCAATCCTATTCAATATGAAGCCCAAACTGTATCTGAGATCACGGGGTGAAGGAATGCCATTCTCCATCACACTCACCAATAGTACACCTTGATGAGAGCCGCAGGCCACAGCAGAAAAGACGCCACAAAAGCCAGAATGGGGATTGCAAGTGTGCCACCGGCAATGACGAACATGTTCACCACGTCCAGATCCATGGCTATGGTTCACCTGTGAGACATAACCATCTGCATTAAAAACCTTCTGGCACTTCAAGGTTCTGGTAGATGACCTACTTCAGTGTTTCTCGATTGCAGTGCTGGAAGCCCCACTGGACTGCACAGCTTTGTGTTTTCCTCACTCCAACACACCTCAGTCAGATCAGTAGCTGAATAAGGAGCCCCTCCAGAGCTGAATTAGATGTGCTGTAGGAGGGAAAACATAACACTCTGCAGATCTGACATCTCAAAAAACATCTCAAAATCAATGTGCAAAAGACTTAAAGCTGTTATTGGAGCAAAAAGTGGCTCTACTAAAGTATTAATATGAGTTACACATACACACATTATATATATTATACATACAGCCTCTCAAACATAGTAACCTTACAGGACAAGACAAAAAATTCCTTATTCTAAGTAATTATGGACCATATCTACTTGAGTGCATTCAGCCCAAGAGCATTAGTGAGGTCAGGTACTGATGTTCGGGATGACAAACGTCACTCCAATTCACCCTAAAGGTTCTGGATGGTGCGCCATCACGCCAGAGAACTCAGTACCGTTGCTCCACAGCCCTTAGGCTCATGTGTGGAGACTCCAGAGTGTCCCATTATATTAGCAATGCTTTTCTAAAGAGATCATACAAACTCTGCTTTTGCAGTTGAATACACTGGTCAGCAATGGATGCACCTGAAAGTTGCTGATTTCACTAATTAGAAGGGGTGTCTGGATGTTTTTGGACATATGGTGTATAACCCCCCCCCTCCAAAATATAAATGAAAAATAACAAATGAAAATGCAGCATGCTTGCATATGCTTGGGGCGAGAGAGTGGTGACGCTGTCACTGGCACTATGTGAACACTGTCACAAGCAATAAACTCACCATCTATAGCCACTCATGCATAGCCAGCAAAACGCAAATCTGCAGCCCACAACATGAAGGACACACAACACTGGAACAGCAGCCTCAGTGAAGCTGGACACGGGGCTAACAGGCCAGCAAAGCACACCATTTTAGGGTTAATCATCACATGGCTCAAAAATAGTAATTTATAGGAGTCTACTACCCCAAAAAAGCCCTGTTTCTTTTTCTCCTTCTCTGTTTCTGACAGCATTATGGCAAAATATTGACTTAGTATCTCCAACTATGCCTTATTTTCTCAAAAGTTTGACTTACTGTCTTGAAATAATGGCAACTGATGTCACAAAAATGACTTATTTTCTCAAATTTTAGACTTATTATCCAAAAAATACAGAGAAAGGAAGTTATTAGTTTAATAATATAATTAAAATAATTAATAATAGTAATTTAATAATTATATATATATATATATATATATATATATATATATATATATATATATATTATACACACACACACACACACACATATATATATATATATTTGCTGGAATGCTTCTTAGTGTTTTGTTTGGCTCAGAATACAGATTATAACAGATCATCAGTGCTAATGGAGACATCTGTCCTACAAGAATGACTTTACAGCAACACTGGTTTACATCATTTTAGAGCTTCAATCTAGACCAACATTCAAGCCAAGCAAACCAGGACACTGATAAAAGCTCTGTACATGCAAGTGGGGGGAAAAACACTTACATGATCATTTGCAAGGGAGATACATTCAAATATATGCAATTCAAGCAAAAGACATTTATAATGAACTGAAACTAAATTTGACGTTAACACGCGAGCGGTGTGTTGTGCGAGAGAGAGAGAGAGAGAGAGAGAGAGAGAGAAGAGAGAGAGAGAGAGAAGAGAGAGAGAGAGAGAGAGAGAGAAATGTACCTTCAGCATACAAAGATATTAATACAGATAATATCAACAATTTATCAATTCTAATGACAAGTGCCTCAACAGCAGCATCGACTCTACACACACATCAAAACTCAAACAGAGAGAAAATTCGGTCATTAATGAGGAAATGAGGTTTGGCCGAGCAGATTTACTTCCTCTCTGCCGTTCAGTTAAATCTTCACAGCTCACCAAAAACAAAAAATCGACGCTGCTGTAAAAACACTGTTCCTACCGCAGCCTTCATTTTATGTCAGCAGGTTGTCGTCCATTTTCTGCACTAAATGTACCTTTTATCGTCGAGCAGCGCTTCCAGCGTGTCGCCTGTTCTATGAATGAAAGCAGAAGTCTCCTCACTGGACAGACACGAGTGCCATGTTTTGATCTTTGCCTTGAGGTAATGGTGTTCCACCTGACCGTGCTCCCCTCATCAACGAGGTTCACTGGGTTTTCCCACCCGTATTCCGACACGCCCCGCCCTCCCGCGCTAGGATTGGCTGGTGAATCAATCCGACGCGCTACGACACGAACGTCAGCCAATCCTCACACAGGAGGCGGGGTTTGCGTTGTTTTTTTTAGTTTCTTTTTTTTTGTAAATGTTATTTACTAGTGAATGTTTTGTGTGAATTAATTGCAGTTGTAATCATTGTCTAACGAAGACGTGGCAACTGGCAAAAATAATAAATATATATGAATACATTCTAAAAAGACGTTGTAGATAAAAAAAATGTAGATAAAAAAAGAAAATATTATGAGGCATTCATAGTAACAGTTTTTAGCCTTTCTGGTCATTTACCATACTAAAAGCCCCTAGCAGAGGGACAAAGTGCATTAAGAATCAAAAAATCACACCAAAAGACGGGGTTAATCCCGGTGCTCTGCTTAGAACTCGGAACCGCTTGAGAGAGTGAACTACTAGCCAATCATATTGCAGGAGGGCGGGACTTGCTGAAACTGCTGGCCAATCCTAGCGGTTCTCCGGAATATGGGTGGAGAAAAGAACATAATACATTCACGGCGCCTCTCAGGAAATCCGCTGCGTTAAATTTAAAGGCGAAAGCAGGAAGATTATTTTTATCCCGACAAAAAATCTTTCCTTGGAAAATATCTGTCAGGTGCACAGAGGGGGCTTTCCTGGACAGATGATAACAGAGCTGAAACGGTCATGTGTCCATTCATCGCTGTCAAGTATGTTTTGAGGCAATTGTGCAGCTATATTAGAAGATGCAAGAAGAGATTTCACTCTGCGGTTGGAGGTTTTCTGTTTTTAGTTGTGTTCTACTTCAGTGTGATGAAGGTTTTATAAGGGTGTCACAAGGGTGCTGCGTGTTATGATCAAGTGACATCAGTTTGCTTAGTAATAAGTGCCGAAGATGGAGTTGTTCACAATTATAAACATAAGAACATGTACATTTTGTATGGTCAGTGAGCTCTTTATTAGGGGTCCTGCCCTTTGGTTTATTTGTGTTACATTACTAGTGAGGACTAATTGATTTCTATTCTGTTGAGGACTAAGTGATTTCATTTTGTATTAGCCAAGTAATCTACACTAAACATAACCTTAAAAACCTTAACCTCAGTATCCAAAAGCTAATTATTTTGCTCTTTTAGTTTTTTTGTTTGTTCGTTTGTTTTTTAAAGCAAAGTTTGTGGTGAAAACAACACATGCTCAAGCAAGGACCAGCCAAATGTCCCCACTTGAGCATAAATGTCATATTGTCCTATCATTGTGAGGACATGTAGTCCTCAAAAGGATAGCAAGACGAGCACACACACACACACACACACACACACACACACACACACACACATATTTATATATACACACCAGTCAGCTTAACATAAAAACCATCTCCTTGTTTCTACACTCATTGTCTGTTTTATCAGCTCCACTGACTACATTGGTGCGCTTTGTAGTTCTACAGTTACTGACTGATGTCCATCTGTTCTCTGTATAATTTGTTACCCTTTTCTTCAATAGTCATTGGTCATCTTCTAGTCCATTAGTGGTCACAGGATGCTACCTGCATGTCGCAGTTGACTGGATATTTTGGTTGGTGGACTATTCTCAGTCCAACAGTGACACGGAGGTGATTAAAAACCCCAGCAGCACTGCTGTCTGATCCACTCAGACCAGTGCAACACACACTAATACGCCACAATGTATATATGCATAAGTTTATATATATATATATATATATATATATATGTATATGTTTATATATATATATATATATATACACATACATATATATATAAACTTTTATATATATTTACATATATATAAACATATATATATATATATATATATATATATATATATATATGTGTGTGTGTGTGTGTGTGGTGTGTGTGTGTGTGTGTATTATATTCCATTCATCCAGTACTCCGTAGCACACTAATATACACAAATAGTGGGGCAGTCTGCAGATGAGGAAGGGACCAGAGCGGAGGAAGGGTTGGGCAATAAACAGCCGAGGGAACTTCTCAGTCCTTATCATTCAGCACAGTCTGCCCTGGAGTCATGCAGCTCTTTCTGTTTCTCCTGCTGAGCTTCGGAGGAGCCCTCAGCCTCAAAATCTGCTCCTTCAACATACGATCCTTTGGAGAAAACAAACTCTCCAAACCAGAAGTGCTGAACGTAATACTGGAGGTAAGGTTTACTTCACGTCCCATTAATCTTTTATTGAAACATAATACATAAATAATTCATTTAATGTGAAAAATACTGAGTCAGGGAAGTGTACTGTTTTTAAATGTATATTTCATACAGCACCCGATTCATTCAGGATATATGTTATATAAATGTACATGTATTATAGAAGAAGTATGACTATTAGAGTTATTCATGTAAGTCAAACCTTTGTATTATTGGACTTATATAAAACCAACTGGTTTTAACCTTTTGTTGTGCTGTCTTTGAAATGTTCGCTACCCAGATATTACATGTATAAATATTTAAAGTTGTGAGTATACTTGTGTACAAGGTCTGCAGCGTTAGCCTCTCAATTTTAGTTATGCACCCATATGTATCATTCACAAACTACAGAGCATTCAGTGCAAAAAAAGGAACTAGTGTGAATTACCACACTATGAATGGGTTCATGAGAATGCATAACTGCTTCAGACAACCAGGGTCGAGATCTTTTTCAGTGTCTGAGGTTTTTTTAATGTTTTACTTCAGCATCAAAGGTCAATTTCTTAGGACATTACATCCAAGTAGGACATGAATGGTGATGTAAAGGACCTTGGTTCCTATCCAGAGCATCATGGCAGACAGTGCTGTTTTTAAATAAATTCAGTTTATTTTAGCTGACTGCACAGATAACTGCTAAAAACTGATCTCCATTTTAATAAAAAAAAAATCATACAATTGACCCCTTATCTCAGATGTACTCAATGAATCAAGCTGTATTTGGTGTTCAGAGTTTGCTTTACTCATGTATAGTTTTGCACTGGAGTTACAGGCTATTGCAGCTAATCGCTAGGCTAATTTAAGTTTATACGCTCCCGTTAGCTTTGTGCACCCCTGCACAAACTGATTGAGCTGGTATGTAGATCTTTCTTCGTTTGACTTTCATGGTTTAGCTGGTCTACCAGCATGAACAGCTTGACTAAGTTTGACTACCAGCTTAACCAGTTGACCAGCATAGGGTATGTCTAGTCCAGCTGGATAACCAAACATTGACCATCTTACACCAGCAAGAATTTAGCCATTTAATTTCAAAGACACAGTGCTAAGTGTTGAGTGTACGCTTCATATGCTTGTTAGCTTCATTGGCTTTGTCGATCCAGTGCTAAAGGTGGCATGGTGATTATTTTTTAATAAGGCATGGCCATGAATTAATGTCTTAAGGCCGCAAACTAATATATTAAGGCCACAAATTAATATATTGAGGCCACAAGTTAAGTTTCATGTGGCCATTGGTCTCAGTATATTAATTTGTGACCTCAAAATAATAATTTGTGGCCGTGAGAAACTTAACTGGTGGCCTCAATGTATTAATTCATGGCCATGCCTTATTAAAAAATAAACAACATTTTAATTTAGGGGCTTCATGAAAACAAATGGAGATGGGAGGTTTTCCTGTGAAAATAAAGCCATGTTTACATGATGATGTATTTATGTATATATGATATGTGATCATTTTCCATCGATTCATGCTGCAGAGTATTGTTCGATGTGACCTCATGCTTGTCATGGAAATCAAGGACGCAAAGGGTGAGGCCTTCCCTCAGCTGATGACTCACCTGAACAGGTAGCTACACAACTGTGCCTCAAAACGAACAGACAGTTTTAAGAGTGATGTGATTTGAATATGCGGTTTATGGAAAGTAATAGAAGCAAACACACGGTCATAATTTAAATCATGTGAATAAACAGCATGTAGGCCCAGGTGATGAAGTGGTAAAGCCACAATCTATTATGTCTTACAGGAGGTACAAAGGCAGGAAGCCGGAGTATGGCTTTGTGATCAGTCAGAGACTTGGCCGAAAGTCCTACAAGGAGCAGTATGCCTTTATCTACAGGTACTTTACATGATAATCACACAGTAAATTCTTCAGTAAAAAACTATTAAGCCAGCAGCTCCTTCAGTTTCTCTGCATTTTCTTATGCAAACACACACACTTCTCATTCACCACAGTATCATAAAACGGGTTAATCTTATAAAAACTTTGTGACACGTGTTGAGTGATTCAATGAAGGCTTAACAGTGCTCTTTTCTGTCCATTCAGGCAGCGGTCAGTATCCGTGAAGTCTGTTTATCAGTATCCCGACATGCAGACTGAAGACGTTGACGCGTTCGCTCGGGAACCTTTCGTTGTGTGGTTTTCATCACCAACAACAGGCAAGACTTTACTGAAATTGAGGATTAGGACTAAAGCGCTGTTGCTGTCAGTCGCAGGAACTGAGAGTAACTCTTCTGCCTCTCTCTCCTGTTACAGAAGTCAAAGAGTTTGTTATCATCCCCATTCATACAACTCCAGAAGCAGCGGTTAAAGAAATAGACGAGCTGTACGATGTCTTCCAAAACGTCTCACAGCACTGGCAGTCAGAGGTAATGGAACATCACAACAGTCCTCATCATTTATTTATTTTCAGTAAATCTTTGATACTAAAACACGCAGTAATGGCACATATCAGTATCTGCACAAATGGATGATAATAATAATAATAATAATAACAATAATAATAATAATAATAATAAGCAGTAGTACTACTAGTAATAATAGTGTATTTATTTGTTTTGTTAATAACTTTTTACATTTTGATAGCAAATACACAAACAACACTTTCTGCATATCAGCGCCACAGAAGGATGGAGGGGGTCCACATACATACATGTACATACATACATACACATACATCATACATTTATACACGTTCTACAAAAGCAACTATGATTACAGAGTCTTAACATAATTAATGGCCCCAGTCCAAAAGCGAATCGTTGCTGCCTTGGCGTTGTGGAATCTGGCAGCTGCCCGTTCTAAAATAAGAATATCCAGAAGATATCTACACCATAACTGAGATAAAGAAAGGTTAGGTTCAAACCAGCCTTTCAAGATTGATTTCTTGGCCGCAGTCAAGGCTGCCGTCATGACTTTCCTTTGTTGTACAGTAAGCATTAAAGTAGAATCATCAAGAAGTAAAAGTAAGGCTGGAGACAAGGGAATGTTGACGGACAAATAACCAGACAAGATTTGTATGACATACAGCCATAAAGCCTTCACAACTGAACATGACCAAAACGTATGAACATAGTCTCCAACTAAACCCAGCTGACACCTGTTACAGTTTTTGTCATTTGAATTAACTGATGAGACAAATTTTTTGAAGACAGAAAAATGTTACGCCACACCACGTCCCAATTTGCAGAAATTCTGAATGTACACAGGTCTCTGTTCCAGAGCTCTACTGCACCTAAAGAAGAATTCTTAAATCGAATAAACAAATCATACAAATGTGAGACCAAGCCTCGGGAAGATTCATGATTACACTGATGATCCAGTAAGGAATGGTTCTTCAACTGAGTGTTCCAGGGAACCCCGTATGCGCGTAGTGCAGAGCGTAGTCTCAGATATAGAAAATAGGAAGTACCAGGAATAGAGAAAAGGTTACATAACTCTTGAAAGGAGTAAAGCCCATGGGTGCCAAAAATATCATTCAAAATAAGGATGTTGTTATTAGACCAGGTAGGAAAAACAAATGGCTTGGAACCTGTCAGAAGAAAATTATTAAACCATATGGGAGAGGATTTGTGCAGTTTCACATTGCACTGAAGAAACTTAGAAACAGAGTTCCATATCTCAAGTGAGCAAGTAATAATAGTGCCATATCATAGAAGTGAGGTCCGATGTTTAACACCAGCAAGGGATAAGTCTTGGAGCCTGATGGGAGAAATAAGTTGCTGTTCTGTTGCTCGCCACGATACTTTAGAAGTGGAATCAAACCATGACCTTATGGCTCTTAACTGAAAAGCCCAAAAATAATATTTAAAATTAGGAATAGCTAGACCACCATATGAATTTGGATGTTGATGTGATTTTAGGCATATTTTAGCTCTTTTGTTGTTCCATATGAAATTTTTGGATAACTTCTCGATATCATTAAAGAAGCTTTGTGGGGGATAGAGGGGAAGCATTGCAAAAGGAAAATTAATACGAGGAAGTTGGAAGTATGGAAATCCTGGCTGACATGGAAATTTGAAGTAAAGACCATTTTTCCATATCCTTAATAAGTTTATTAAGGAGATGAGCGTAGTTGTGCTTCCAAATAAGGGCAAGATTTGGATACATTTTTACACCTAAATATGTAAAGTCCGATGTTTGAACTTGTATCCCCCAGAAAGGTTTAAATTACCATTATACCGGCCGATGGACATCAGAATTGACTTGTCCCAATTTATCTTATATCCTGAAAATAAGCCATATCTATTGAATAACGAGAGCGCCTGTGGCACTGAATCACTGGCATCTGCAGGAAACAAGATAACATCATCAGCATATAGGGAAATATGATGTGATTAATTGTTTATGTGAATAGGAGTAATTAACAGGCTTTGTCTAACGGCTTCCACTAAAGGTTCGAGAGATAAAATAAATAGGCTTGAACTAAGGGGGCAACCTTGTCTTGTCCCTCTCTGAAGAGCAAAGGGAGAAGAAATAATGTGTCCTGTAGAAACACATGCTGTTGGAAAAGAGTATAGAATTTGAATCATCTTGATAAAAGAGGGCCTAAAACCAAACTTCTTGAGCACTGCCTTCCCCTGCCCTCCCCTTCATAGCATCCAAGCTAAAAAGTGCTTGAGAATTATTCGCATCCCTGTCGCTGGCGTCAGTTACATGTAAGACACTAATGTTATCTGCAGCAAATCTACCTTTAATAAATCCAGTTTGATCTTGATGTATGAGATCTGATAGGCAGCCTTCAACTCTTTTAGAGAGAACTTTTGCATATATTTTGATATCGGCATTTAATAACGATAGGGGTCTGTAATTCGTACAGTCTAAAGGATCTTTGGTGGGCTTGAGTAGCAGTGAGATCAAAGCGGTAGTTTGATCCTTATGAAAATGGTGGATTTATTTGTATATTTAGTAACTGTTATGCATAGAAATACAGCTCAAAGTGCGATAATAGTAGGTATAGAGCTGTGTGCAAAAGCTTGAACACCGCTTGTCAAATTATTGATTTGTGAAAATTCTACAGTGATCACACTTAAATATGACCTTTTCTTATCATTTTAGTGCATAATTTCTATTTAACATATTGTAAAAACACAAACATATATATGTTTGTGTGTGTGTGTGTGTGTGTGTGTGTGTGTGTGTGTATATATACGTATATATTCAGCAAACAACAAGATGTGCAGAATTATAAAGAATGACTACTATTGTCACTTAGAACATGAATAAAACATGTTATTTGACCAGGGCGCCCAAACGTTTGCATACAACTGTATAACAGAATATACAAAAAAAATAATATAAAAGAGTGATAATAGTTTGATTTGTGCAGCAGCTTTTATACAGACAATTAGGCTCAAAGTGCTTCAGAAGCAGTTTATGACTTTTATGACTATGTACTGTTCAGAAATGTGTTAGACAGCAACAACACCAGTCGAAGCCATCGTGAAAGTTCAGTTTTGTCCATATTTTGTCACTGTGTCAGATGATTTAGGCACATAGTACAGTGCTAAGTATTAAAGTATTAACTTCTATTTCTTGTTAGCTACATTAGCCTCATAGCTTCCAGTAAACATTGGACACCAAACATGTCTTAGATGATGACATATTACATTTGGAATTGAGGGAAAACTGTGTAAATGTTGTAGTAATAATAATAATAATAAGAAGAAGAAGAATTAAAAGAAGATTTCAAATGGTGCTTGAGGTGTTTCACTGAGGTAAAGGCTAATAGTACAAACACGAAAGAACAGTACATAAAGAAAATAAAAGTATAGAATAAATAATGTAAAGTAATAGAAAAAAGTAATAAAAAGTATAGAAAAAATAATAAAGTAATTTTAGAAATAATAATAAAAGTGACAATAAAAATAAATAAAAAAGATATATTTGTAATGTAAAAGAGAGTGAAACAAGAATTTGGAGCTTGAAAAAAGTAAACATAAAATAAATTAATTAAATGAAAAATCTAATAGACTTTATAAAATAACTATGAATTTATAATAATATAAAACAATAATAATGATAATTTTCTTTGTGTAGCTACTTTTACACTTAGAAATCAGGCTCAAAGTGCGCTGCTGTCTCTTCACAGGTTTGAATGCACGTATCTGTGTGATTGATTATTAGTTCTGTTCTCTGTAAATGGAAAAAGGAAGGTTCTATTATGATCAGTGTGGAGTGAAGAGGAGGGCAGACAGGCAGAGCTGAAAGGAGAGAGCAGTTTGTTTATAGTGATAATGAGTGAAACTGATCCCCTCACCTTTCATGCACCTGCTCACACACACACACACGAGCACTCGCGGCCTCTCAGATTGCTTCATTTGGCTCAACCACCAGTTCCTGTTTCACCTCTAACTTCTACCTCACATCTCTTTTCACCAGAACTTCATCATCATGGGAGATTTCAATGCCGCCTGCGGCTACGTCCCCAAGAGAGAGTGGCGTAACATTCGTCTGCGCTCTGATACGAAGTTCCTGTGGCTGACGGACGATAAACTGGACACTTCAGTGAAACAGTCCACGAGCTGCGCTTACGATAGGTCAGGAATTTGTTCAGTTGAGAAAGAAAGCGCAGCTAGCCCAGCTGGCACTATAATGAATATCGCTGTTGTAAAACCTCGTATCTCCAAAATGGTAACTTTACAGGAGAAGGAAAAACATACTTTCTTTTAATGTAAATCAGTGGAACCAGGTTTTCTTAAATTTGGCCCAGTCATCATGAAATTTACACACAATGTAAAGGCCAACAGGCATTTTCAAATTATGTCAAAAACTAAATTTTGTAAAATAGAGATTTTCTTCCGACAGCAGTGATAAACAGTATATATATACAAATTGGGACCATCACTAAAAGATACTGTGGGATGTTAATATGAACCCTATATTCTATATTCTGTACTGTATGTGCACTATACCATGGTGTGGCAAAAGTTTAAACACACCTATTCAAATTGCCTGTGTTGTTGATTTTGTAAGTGATAATGAGTCAGCACATCCTCTACAGAGACACCCTTAAATATGGCAATTTTCCGCACATTTTAGTGCACAATTTCAGTTTATTTGCTTTTAACACATTGAAAAAAAAATACATAACATACAAAATGTTAGGTTTGTACTTTATATGTAAAATTCAGTGAATAAGCAGTAATTGTGCGTTAATATGTGCGGAAATGTGTTAACTCATTTTCACCTATAAAAACAACAAAAAAATGACCAGTGTTACCCAAACTGTTGAAACATGTGAATGTGTGTCCATAGGTGTCCAGACACCTTTTAATTGGTGAATACCTTTGGGATGAATTGGAGTCATGTTTTTAATCCAGAACTAATCATCCAACATCAGTACCTGACCTCACTAATGCTCTTATGGCTGAATGCAATCAGTTCCTCACAGCAATGTTCCAACATCTAGTGTAAAGCCTTCACAGAAGAGTAGAGGCCGTTACTGCAGAATAGGACAAACTCTCTTGATTTCAGAAGAAACGTTGGATGAACATACATATTTCGACCTAAATGAACTTGAAAGAAAACTAATAGAACTGAGCCCAACACTGTATTGCACATAGATCACTAAACAACAGCAAATGTCAGGGTAGGATGCTGCTCCTACTGCTGCTCCAGTAGAGAGCTGAACGATGTCCATTTCAGTCCAGCATGCTCTCATCTCTGTGTGCAGGGTGGTCCTCCGTGGAGAGAAGATGATCCAGGCCGTTAAAGTGGATTCAGTGGACGTTTATGACTTTAAACAGGCGTTTGGGCTCACAGAGCAGGAGGTACACCGAAGTTCAGCCTTTATCAAAGCCTTCTTGCGAGTATCATACTGACTCCAAAAGTTATTTTTTAATAATATAGAACAAAAATTGTTCCAGATGCATGTCAGAAATGTTTCTAATATAATTATATTCATTCATTATATTATTTGCTCATTATTTTGAAGAGAGCATCTAAAAATACCTTCTGGCATTTACTTTATAAGAATTCATTCTACACTCTAGTATAATATCAACAGTTATGAATATGACAAGTGATTCCAAATGACCGAACTGTAGTGTATATCATATAAACGCTGACTGCAGATGTTGTAATGTAAACTGGTAATACATCCTGTTTTTGCTCTTGTCTCTGTTTCTAGGCCCTGGCTGTGAGTGACCATTTCCCTCTTTGCTTCTCTGTGAATGCGGCCAGGAGACGTGGCTGAGAGATTTTTGCTGGTTTCATGTTTAATGCTAAAGTAAACTGGGTAACACTTTATTTGGAGTGGACCTTTGTAGATGATTAATAAACTCTTAACAGATTATCAGTAACACGTCAACAACATATCAGTGAAGTAGCTGTAGTGAAGCAATCTAGTGAATACACTGAAGTAAATATCTTGTAGATGCTCTGTTGATATATTACTTACATTAAGTAGATGTATTTTTAATATGTTACTTCCATTACGCAAAACATAACCTTACCAACCTTACCAAAACCTAACCCTAACACTGGCCCTAATCCTAACCCTAACCTTAACCTCAATCCAAAACCTAATCCTAACCCTGGCCTTAATCCTAACCCTAACCTTAACCTCAATCCAAAACCTAATCCTAACCCTGGCCTTAATCCTAATCCTAACCTTAACCTCAATCCAAAACCTTATCCTAACCCTCATGTGTGTTTGACGTGTTACTGCTGAGTGTTTAATCTAAAAGGGCCACTCAAAATAAAGTGTTTAAAGAGTTCAAAGAGTTTAAAATACAGCAGTTTGGCCTGAACTCTTCAGTTACTGGGATTAAACCTAATCAAAGTTATGGAGCATTAAAATAGGCATTCAGCACATTCAGCACATTCAGCCTGTTGAGTAATTAATGGTTTACTCTGAAGAAGAACAGAGTTTTCCAAGAAAGGCGACTTCAGGGCTTTCATTACAGAGGTGATGAGAAGTGGCCATGCTTGTTAATTATAAACCAGCAGATTCGAGGTGTGGGTTTACAGTTACTAAGAGACGCTGTGTGTTGGGCTTTTAGAGTTTATTGCTTTCACTTCTGTCTTTCCATTCATTACATTTATACTTCACGAATGTAATTAAATACAGCGAATGTAATTAAATACAGCAAATGTAATTAAATACAGCGAATGTAATTAAAGAAAATTTTTAAAATATGTAAAACATTGCCTGATTTCTCTGTAGTACGTCTGAATCAACACAGTAGACTCTTAAAACTTAAGGTCCTATAGGGTTCTTGCTATAGAAGAACCACTCTTAGTACCCTAAAGAAGCAAAAATACCTCAGTTGCAAAGTTCTCCAATGGCATCGATACAAATAACCTTTTTTGGCACCTTTATTTTTAAGAGGATACATACAAACCACACAGTACATACATGCAAATGTTGTGAAATTAATTGAACAAACATTGCAGAGTCAAAACATCTCGCAAACCCAGATACATGTCAAGCACAACTGCTCGGTATTTATTGGTAGTTTACTCTCAGTAATGCCTTGTGGAGATGGAATATTCCGTCTCTGTGAGAATGTGATCATGTCCTCTTGGAAAGTTGTTTCGGAATGTTACCCCAGTTTGTCAGTTGCAGAAGGAATATTAAAAATGCCGTTCCTGGCGTAGAAAGTGCTCCTAACCACTCCTGACCTTCCGTTAGCCGGTGATCTGTAGTTATGTTCATAATCACCTGTGGACACAGTTTCAGTGAAAGATTGTCAGATGTTTGTTTTTAAATGAAAGTAATGCATGTTAGACCAACATACACCACTGTTCAAATGTGTGTAATCAGTTCCAATATCAATCATTTATTTTATAAACAAGAATAATATACACTGTTAGAAATAAAGGTTTTATGAGGTACATTTTAGTTCATCAAGGTACAAACAGTGTAAATGTTCCCTCAAAGGTACAACAGTGGTTTTAGGGTCCAATTGTGCACCTTAAATAAGTTTTTTCCAGGTAAAAATTACATATTTGTACCTTTTCATAATCTAATGTTTTAAAACAGAACAGTAAAATAAAAGCCTGGAGACGAGACGGGGTGTGGAGTCAGTACAGCTTAGAAAACATCACTGCACTGGATTATGGCACAATTATGTTCCCTGACTAAAGGTACTGAGATGTACCTGAGCAGCAATAAGTAATTAAATGGTAAATAATATACTTTAATTATTAATTTTTCTTTGTCACTTTATTTTCTTTACGATCTGATCCACACTTTTGAATGATTTTTGCCTGGATATTATATTATATTATATTATGCAAACATTTGAACAAACTCCATGTTTTGTTGATTTTTTTAAGTAAAAATAAGTTAACACACCCTCTACAGAGAACACACTTAAATAATGCATTTTTCATTAAAATTTGAGTGCACAAGTTCAATTTATTGAGTTTAACACATTAGAAAAAACATAACATGTAAAATGTGCCATAACCTTCATGTTTTATTTATGCTTCCTACTATTTTTTTAAACCTGTGAAGTTGAACAGGACAAATCCGAACCACTGTTTATTTAACTTTATACACACAAAATTGGTTTTATATCATTGAAAACACAGTTTTATGATGTATAACAGACTATCCAATTGGTTTGGCGCTGACTTCAGTTCTGGTCTCGGAGACCTGGTGTCCAGCACAGTTGGTGTGTTTGAGCAGGGAAATCACCAACTCTGCTGGACACCATAACAGAAGAAGACTGAGGTATTGCATGTAACATTTACCAGCCCAGCAGCCTCCAAATATCTTGATGAAGATCAAATATGAGCTCCTCACCTAATCTCCAGCCGTATTCCCATGAGGACAGTATTGGATAGTCAAACTTGTCCTCTGGCATTTTCTGGGCACGTCTCTTCAGATACACGCTGCGTCCTTTGCCTTCTTTGGAGAAGCCGTGGTAGAGGGTCTCTTTGGTTTTGGGGCTGACGGGACGCATCAGAGGGGCTTCACTGAGAGAGCGGCCCACCAGCACTGGGGCCTCCTTCTTCTTCCCTTGAGGCTGGACGACGGGGGGTAGACTGATTTCAGTGGACGGCTTTGGTGGGTTAAAGAGGCCAATGGTCTTGGCTCTGCGGGTCGTGAAGCTGGTGGGACAGTCTTTGCTGTATTTCATCTTCCAGGTGAGGCGCGTGTAGGCCTCCTTCATAATGAGCTCCCTGTAGCAGTTCTGGTTCTGCGTGGTCAGGAGGTTCCTCATCGTCGGCCTGCTGCGTTTTGGACTAACGCTGTGAGTTAATGTGTGCTGAGTCTATTTGGTTGGTTAAAGGGAAACAGGAGTAGCCACTGCCACAGAAACACCAGAGCAGTTTGTCATTTGGGCTTCACCTGCGGTCAGCCAATCAGAGGGCTCTCCTCAGCAGGAGAGTGGAAAGTGGCCCAGGGCAAACACACACACACACGTTGGTTTTTATACCTCGTCTGGACATGGGGTATGTATTATATATATGTAAGTATATATATATGTCAGTATAATGTGTCACATGCATTATTCAGTGCTGTACAAAGTTAGACACCAAACTTCATTTCCAGTCAAAATGGCTATTAACTCATTCTGTTAAGCACAACTACTTAACAGAAGATGGCTTGTCTAGTCTTCCTCCCAACAAAAGCTGTTCCCAAAAGAGTCACTGACATTATGTTCCCCTTCAAAGAGACACTAACATTTACACAAACAGTCTGAAAGGACGTGTGGCCATTACTGAGAAAAGGAAATAGACAAAAAAGAAAAAATTGCCCTGGACCACCGAAACTGGACATCTAAGAATGAGTGATTGGGATTACTTGGATTGTGAAAAGCACAAACTGTGCTAAGGCTGAACTGGAAACACCCTGCAGAACAACTGAAAGCAAGTGTCCTGAAACGGATTGAAGCTTCAATAAGTCGAGGCTTCTGTGTAATTTTCTGTTAAATCTTGTAAAAGTTTCCTGCTTTTTTCCTGAAGCTGAAAAACGGCCATTTGTAATGGAAATAAAATAAATGAAAGCCTTTTTCACAGCACTGCATTTATGTAAGTTCCCATTTGTAATGAGATCTAAAATGAACTCTAAACTTAGCCTCAGTAACCAAAACAGAAATGCCTTTTTATCTTTTAGTTTTAAAAAAGGAAACATTGAACTTTTTTAGAAGCCACTCTATAAGGTCAGGGCTATTTTGTTACTCCTGAGGGTAGCCTTGTTTTTCTCTGATTTTCTTAGAAAGTCACATTTTTTTGTACTGAAAATGTATGAAAACAAGCACGCACGCGCACACACACACACACACACACACACACACACACACACAAAAGTGTGCTGACAGAATAACAAAGAAGACCCAAGCTGACCTACACTGCTACACTGCAGCAAATCAGCAAGTTCACATCTATTCCTCTGTCAGGAAGAATAAAGCAAACAGGCAGAGAGGAAACTGAGCAGAGTGCAGAGGAAAAACAGCCCTGACAGAACTTCATCAGTGTAATGATGGTGCAGCAATAAAATAAACAATTGGGTAACACTTTATTTGGATGGTCCACTGTAGATGCTTTGTAAATGTGCAGCACATATTAAAGTAACATTCAACTAAATACCCATAAATGCAACTAAGCTTGAAGTTGAGTGTTATTTGGATGGTCAACTGTAGATGCTTTGTAAAGGCTTAATCTGTCTTTAAGTAACTTTCAACTAAAAACAAGTTCAGTGTGAAAGATTTTATGAAATCTATCCCTAACCCTAACCTTAAGACAAAACCTACACCTACTCTTAATCCTAATCCCAACCATAATGTTGTTGATAATCGACTGAACATCACCAGAAAGTTTGCTAATGATTTAAGTATCTGTAGATCATCTACAGGGGACCATCCAAATAAAGTGTGGCCAGTAATTGATTAAAATGTACCTTCCAAATGAATCAATCATTAGTTTGCAATTTGCATGTTTATGATGCTTATTTAATATTGACCTACTGATATCTCTTACAGTAAGAAACAGCCTGATTTAAACCATTTATATTATGTATTTTTGCATCTTTTCATAGCTTTCTTAATGAATCCGTTATAAAAAGTTTCCTAGTTTATCTTTTTGCCAGTAAAAAAACATTTAAAAAGCTACATTTTTATTGTTTGCCTATTATATTAGTTTTACTTTATTTAAAACCTCTGACAGCATGATTACTAATCAAAAACAAGTCAACAAGGGAAATCACAGTCTACAGAAATTTCCCAAGAATCAGAAGCTGTGCTGACCTCTACTTCCCCTATTATGCAAATGTAGTTCTCCTATTAGTCCAGATGATGGCAGTGTCCTCCTTCCACTCATAGCCTGGAACAATGACTGCACTTCAGTTCTTGAAATAAAAGGCAGCTGTGCTTCTTAAACAGAGGGCATGAATGACAATCTTTTATAACCCGAGACTGAGAGGAAATGAAAACCACCACTGATTAAAATAGATCAAAAACCTACTTATCCAGGAAGCTCATTAAAGGCAACTGCAAACTCCAATGGAAACCTTCCATTCAAGCCAGTCTCAATTTGTAACGTAACTGTGCAGCTGATATTGCAGCAAAATAGGCTCATTGCTTGCTGACATGGCACAGGAGAGACAAAGGCTTCTATATTTAGTCTTGCACAGTAAGGAGCAACTCGGAGCAAGGCTGCTTTAAGTGACCTCGCACTGCCATCCTCATGTTTGTGCTGACCAAAAAGGAAGTTTTGGCTTTGATTAATGAGGGAAGATGATCTCCACAGATTAGCAAATATTCACTGCTGAACTCAATCGCTGTGTAACCGCAACCTTGATTTTGTTTCCATAGAAATCTCAAGGTGGTCCTTCATGGCCTGCTGATTGGAGTCCACATTAATCACCTGCAACAATGGGGCTTTCAGTCACCCAAGCATGGGTCACTAGTTACCCATGGATACTAGACCAGTATTTAATGTCACATCCTAATAAATCACACCAAAACTCAGTGTTTCTCCAAGTGGATCTTCACAGATTTCTCAAAAATATCTGCATAATTGAAACATGAAGATGTACACAATCATCCAGGGTGGTTAGACGTGAAAGGCCATGCACTTAACAAGTAAGTAATGGTGGTGATTGGAACCAGACTTAGTGTTCAATGCCTCTAAAAGCTCCCTCAAAATGTAACAACTGCATTAAACAGTTCCGAAAATATTGCTATAGTTTTAGTTTTGAAATAAGATTAAAATCTTTGAGAAGATTTTAGCACCATTTTACCATTTTCAACATTACATATGCAAAATAATAAAAAAAAACAAAAAAACAAAAAAAAACACACACACGGAGGCTCACTGGTCATTTCAAATGGTAAATAAAAAGGCTATTTTGCATTGTGACTGTTTCCAATCACCATGAGAAGTCAGTATGTATGAACCACTTCATATATAACCACTCTGAATGACTAGTTACATCTCAAAGACTAAATTATTCAGAAATGCAGGAAAAATAAATAAATAAATAAATAAATAAATAAAAAGGTGAAACTCCCCTTAAATGAATTCAAATCTACAATAAACGTGCAATGTTTCATATCTTTATTCCAGTTTTTTTTAATTATCAAATTTACATCATTTCTAACTGTATATTTCACATTAAGGCACCCTGGGCTAATACAAAATGCAAATAGTACCACCCCCCCACCCCCGCTTTCAAAACAATAACAAAATACTTTTAACTTTATCAAAACTATAATAATTGAGCAATATAAGACAAACATGAATGCCAGTATACACAAAAACTCCCAAAACGGTCACTATACGGTCACAATTGCTGTAAAGTGTGAAGATGCAGCGGTAATCTCTTTCGATATCACAACAGCAGATTACACTAGGAATGTGTGTGTTTGGGGTAACTGGCTAGAATGTCAGTTTAAAGTTTAAATGCTAGGTAAAAAAAAAGAACAGCATTAAACAAACACTGCAATTCCTAAACCTCTAAGACTTACATACAGTGGACCACTGTTAAGGGTTGTTGTTTGTCAAAATCAAGTGCATTTCTTCTAAGTTACAGGATACAATTGCATGGATTAACATGTTTCACTCCATTCATTTTACAGTATATTTCTGATTAACTGTCAGTTGGATCATGAAACAGTTTGGATATCACATCCCAAGCAAAACAGAAATAAGTTGCAAGTGTGGAAAGCCTAAAGTGTTCCAACAGATAACTGATTGGCTTTGCTACTGTGCAGTCTGATCTAATTTCTGAGCATGTAAACATCACAGTAGTCCAATATGCAGCAGTTAGAATAAAAAAAAATAACAGCAATGGAAATATCACAACAATGTGCATTAAAACTAGATGAAAATATTAGCAAACAGACAAAACAGCATCAGTAGTAAAGGATATTTAAAAGGAAAGGGGCGCTCCCTCTTCAACTGACACATTTTAGATCTACACTTTTTTTCAAAATACTTTTTTGTGTCCCTTGAGTTCAAAGTTGGAGACAAACCTCAAACTCGTCAGAATATGGTGAGAAAACAACAAATATAAATGACATACGATTTGAACACAGCCAAAGCATGTCACATAAAATACAATCAAGTGCAATTTTCTTTATCCATATTGGGCTTAATTTAAATATTAGTGTGATTTGGCTGTTTCTGTTCCATTTCCCAAAAGTCTCTCTCAGAAGGAAGGTTTATTTGCTTCGTGGACTTATGGGACAGTAACATGGAAAGGTGAGCCTGGGATATGGTCTTCGCCCCACTTCACTGCCAGCACATAGCTGCCCCGCTCCTTCAGGATGTAGCTGACGTTGTACTGCAGATTGCCCAAGTGTTTCACCAGGATTTCCTCGCAAGGTGTTTGAGGTCCATGAACTCCTACCAGAAGCATGTTCTTCCCTAGTAAGACACACAGGAAGAAGAATGTTAGGGACTCTGGACATTCGTGAAAATGCAAGAAAGAATCTTGACAGTGACTGGAAAAACATTAATGAAGAATTGACCATGAACAGAGACAGATTTGAGCTTTTTTGGTTCTGTGGGTTTGGGTTCTATTCAGCATGCCAAAAAAGCACAAAAAGGTTTTTCAGATCAATTATTTAACGTTTACATTCACAGGAACGCTGTAAGTCTCTTCCTCCTGACAGATACAACTCTAAAGTGAAGCTTTTACTCACCTGCTTTGCTGCAGTCCACAGAGAAGCTGGCTCTCTGGCCCACGTAGGCTTTGCTAAGGCCTGGGCCTCGACTGGTCACTTTGCTGGCATCGGAGGCAGCCCTGGGCAGGGCACTGTAGGAGTTTGCGCTGCTGGCTCTGAGCACAGGATCTACCATCAGAGTGGACGTCTCGCTGGCATTAGTCACGTTCACAAGCCGCTGACCTGAAGATGAGAGGAATGGTGTGATTTGCTGTTTGCAAATAGGAGCGTCAACCAAAAGATGGGTTGTTACATTTACTCTGTGCCATTAACTGGATACTTTTTACAGATTTATACTTCAAATGATATTCTCAGATTCAAGTAATCCACATTTAACCATCTACACCAAGTTACTAATTTCATTGTTGTTTTATTTCATTCTGATGTGTTGGTCCAGCTCAGTGTGGCTGAGCTGAATCCTACTTCAGTTCAGGCCACTTTTACCCCTACCTGAATCATATTGATGTACTGAAGTAATATTTTTACTTGAGTGTGTATATCTGTGCTGCAAATACAAGAATATTAAAAATATTAACAAACTGCTGTGCAGCTCCATCTCAGTCAAAACCACCCTTCACTCACAGACCTAGTTTGCATGACTTGATCATTAAATCATTAGTGGCTTGAGTGGTTTGACCATCTCTTCTACAGCCTTCACCCATTACACCCTACAAGATCATGACTCTTCTGCATACCCGTGACTTTGGCCTTGAAGGGGCTGCCAGTGATGTGGTTAGGGCCCCCATATTTAACGCTGATCAGGTAGTTTCCAGGGGCCAGTGGCGTGTACTGTACTTTAAAGCCCTCAGGGCACTCCTGGCACTCCATCTTCACCTTTGAGGGCCCCTCAATAGTCACAGCCAGAGAGCCTGGCCCGGCTTTGGTGGTGTTGATGATGAAATCTGACTGGTTGCCTGCACAAAGAATACAAATGCTGTGAATCAGAAGGGCCTTTATGTGGGTCCAGGGCTGGACAGTGTTCATAACTTGTCAATATTGATACCAAAGCTGATACCTTGAATTTGACAACAATTCCTAAACACTTTTTTTCAATACCTTCTTCTAAACTGCAAACTGAAAGTGGCTGAGGCTTTACACAGAAATGAGTGTGAGGTGTTGGAAGAGGGTATATTTACTGAGCACAGTGGACTGCAGACTATTCAAGAAAAACTGCATTAACATGAATACAGAATATAATTTAATTCGATTGGTCCCATAAAGGGCTGAATCTCGATATCCAGCCCTATGAGGGTCAATTCAGTTTCCCACTGTTTTAACTTCTACAGCCACCATTGAAATTTTTCAAGTTTTTTATTAATGATTACCTGAAAAAAAACACATTTGAAATTGACTAATCACCCTGGCCAAAAAAAAAAAATCAATAACACAGTAACAGAAACACTGAACTACAGAACTTACATCTTAAATGCAAAATTTTATTTCAATACGTTATTAAAAACCGTTTAAGCATGGCCGACTGCAACCTAGCATGACAAATACCACGTTTTTAAAGTGGCTCTATAAATAATACAGCATTTGCAGCGTTTACATTCCACCATATTGTGGAATGTAATCTATAATGACACAGCTACAATTTTAACCAGAATATAAAAGCCACATGTAAAGAATAATCATATACGTAAATACAGAAAAAATAAATAAATGCGTTAAGTCTGCTGACAAAATCCATGTCAACCTAGAAATGCTACAACAGGCAAGCAAGAAGAGCCCATCTCAGTGCAGCAAGGTTTTACATGTCGTAACACTGTACACTGAGCTTAACTATACATTCCACTATGTGGCCACAAAACCTGCAAAAAAACGATAAACTCCAAATATAGCATCACCACTCTTCAACTGGACACATAAATCCCACACAGTGGCAGACACTGACATAATCAGCTCAGACCAGCTGGAAGAAGGAACTGTATTCCTCCACTAACTCAGCCCTGAGCTTAACAAAGCCTGATTTACACTTCCTCTGTGTCATCCCTGTGTCTTTCTTTATTTCCACCACTGTGCTTATCAACTGAACCATCGTTAACACGAAGAGGGCTGCCGTTCTCTCTCTTTCAATGCTTAACGACAAAAACGGTGATGTTAAATCAAACTTCGACTGTTGCAGACTGATGCCCCTCTCACAGTGGGAGGCTTTTCCTGTGACCACAATTCAATTAGGCCAGTTTGAAAAAGACATACATTTGTGCTGGATGGGTTCCATGACTAACAGGTTAGGTAATACAAGATCCTTCTGTTTAAATCATCTTGCTGAAACAATGAGCAGTGTTCAGATGATCCACTGACGGAGTAAAGCTCAAGATTCAAACAGAACTCTATTGTGCCTGTGCTGAGAAGAGCCATCTGACTACCTGAATAAACAGTTTTTATAACACTGCTGTTGGTTTAGGCCTATATATTGCACACCAAGCAGGATTTTGTCAGCTGCATTCTGATTGGCTACCCACGTCACTGTGAATGCGCTTTGTCACTGCATAGCTCTATAAGTTTCTAATATGCTTTACTATACAGTCGTATGCAAATGCTTGGGCCGTTTGCTGATTTTCTAAGTGAGAATAAGTCAACACAATTAACTTTATTTGCTGAATTTAATATATAGTGCAAAATATATAAAAATGTCTGCGCAAAAAAGTTATGGCACAATGTGTGCCCCCCCCAAATATGAAATAAAAAAAAAATAAACAGAAATCATGCAAATGGATGTCAAATCAGCAACAGATGAGGTGTTTTAGCATATTTTCACTTAGAAAATCAACATGTCATTTGACAACGTTTTACTGTAATTGTAAAATGTGGAAAATAGTATAATTGTCCAAACTTTTGATCAGTACTTTTAAAGACTATGCTGTAAGGATTTGTTGAGGCACTCAACACTGTCTAGCCTGTACTGTAATGTGTCCTTTTCCCAGAGAGTCACATGGGTCTCAGTATTCCCCAAACTACAAAAACATCACAATCAAGTTCAGTGGGCTTTGCATTCGGTTTCAACATACTGACATTGTTTGGGAGTAAAGGGGAGTAAACTTTGAGAAAAAATGTAGACCACAGTTTACCCAAACACACTTCCATTATGTTAAAAGCCTAAAACTCAGGACATGTTTGACAGGGTTTCCCCTCTATTGTGTACAAAAACATTGTGCCATATGTTATCATACCATAAGAAAACAAACTTCCTTTCATAGCACATTCCAAAGCAAAATTATGTTAGATCAAGAAGTCACTTGCAGCAAAGACCATGTGCAGCTGGAACCAAGAGTAGGACTTGGGCAAGAAAATCTGGCCCTATATTAGCATAAACAGGCAGTTACTACTAGAACATGAATTGGAATGGAATGATTTAGAGCCATAGTCTCACCCCGTACTAAATATGTTCAAGCATATGGATCTAAATGTGTTACCTGTGGTTCCTCTCTCCAGACCTGCGCCATAGGCAGTAACGAGTCCGGCATCTCCACCCTGTCCTGGTTCTCCCACTCTCACCTGGAAGGGACTGCCTGGGATGTGTGTGCCGTTGAACTTCACGTCAATGGTGTGGATTCCATTCTCTCGTGGGATAAAACGAATGGCGTACTTGTCTGGAGAGCAAGCAACAACAGAGTTGAGTCAAAATGCACCAAACACAGGACAAGCTGACCCAATGACAATCCCTTTATAATACTCTCTGCCCGCATACATGAACAGAAAAGTGGAGGGATGGTTTTGATGTTATATTGCAAGATGCGAAAGACACAGTGAAAGATAACACTGTACAGTTTCCCTGTGGCAGGACAACACATTTGCATACTTATAAGAACAGTAAACAGTAGTATCAGTATAATAGCTGTATTATGTATTAGTGCTCTGCAAACATTTTCAGTATATTTGAACAATTCTACTATGTTTACATGCACACCAACAGTTCACTATTCCTCTAAGACTGTTAGTTTAATTAAGCTATCATGTAAACAGCATGATTTGACCGTCAAGGTCCAACTAAAATCAACATAAGATCAGCCCAATTAAAATAATGTGGTCCAGGCTGATATTGGCCAGACTATGTGTGATAGATTTGGACATTTAAAGACCAAGATCACTCCAGTGACAGGCATACAGAGCTTTTGCAGTCTGGGGCTTTAACAGTAGCACCACTTGTGATGACAGATTTTTGACCACAGACGTCCCTCAGGTTAACCATTTTGTCAGAAGTAGATATCATTAGACACTTAAATAGAAGCAGAAAAAAGGAAGTTCTTTTTAAACAGTGGGAAACTCAGACATGGGTAAACCTGCAACAAGAAGGGGTCTTTATGTTAAACCATGCTGGCCTGCATGTAAACAGGCCTATAAATGGACTAGTCTTTTATACAGCACTTGTAAAGATCTTGGTTCAGTCTAGTTTCCTAGACAAATAAGAATTGTGTGCATGTAAACGCTGCTACTTAAAATGGTGAGAATACTGTTCCATCCCAACAATACAGAGAGAGAGTCCACTAGATTCTTGGTTCATAAGCAAACAAAGAAAATAACATCTTCTATTTTTTGATTTCACTTTCTATTTAGCCTTTTCCCATCAGAAAATCCCCAAATAAAATTGTGAAACAAATCTCTCCCCACTTTGTCTAATGGCAGCCACAATCGATTTTGGAGCCTCACCTTGTTCCAGTTCTTTAACTACACACTCTTCCAGAGCTCCAGAGGGACTGTGCACTTTCGCATCGATGGTACCTTGAGCACCATTCAGTCGCACAGCAAACGAAGCTGGCTGGTTCACCTTGAGGCCTGACTCCTGAAGTAGTAAACAGTGCAGATTGCATCATATATCTCCCACCCTAAGAATGTTCTGGACCTTTCAGCTCTGTTCATATTAATTCTATGTCACATTAATTAACTTTACACAATCTTTATCTATAACCAGTTGGACACCACCCTTCCACCCATGTTACAGTTTTCTCTGACCCAACAGAAGTCAGTCATTGACAGCAGCAGTGGGCAATATGACGTCTATTGTTATAGTGATAAATTGCTTTTGTAAGCATACTGTGGATAATCAGTAATTAAAGAACAATGTTTCATTAAAAAGACAACATAATTAGTACTGTTTCATTGGATTTGCTGTACAAATGCAGTACAGTATGTGAAATGTTTGAAGGAAAAAAAAAAAAGTCACGGCTCTTTTTAAATGTGAAACTACTTGTGCACTTTGTCTGTGCATTAAAATATTGCGATATCCATAATGAAAATGTCTAAGTATTGTGATATGCTGCCATATTGCCCACCCTATTTGACAATATGACAAACAATTCATTGTATATATATATATATATATATATATATATATATATATATATATATATATATATATATATATATAAAAAACACTGAAAAAAATCTTCACAATGACTCCTTGCATGAATTAAAAGCATGTTTTTGACTGTTTTTACCTGAACTCACAGTGGACCAGCTAAAGTAAAGAGAGGTCACCACATTATATAAGTTGTTTCTAGGGAGAGCAGATGAACTAGTAGGTTTACTATACTACAGAAGGGAAAGTGAAAATGGGTCAGGAAATGAGTTTCTACAGTTGTGGTGTTTCTCTCTCTCTGCTTTAGCCAGCGCTTTAGTGAGTTTGAGTCGTGTCCCTGTTAAAAGCCTTTAAATGAAACACAAGAGAAACACCAGAGGTTCCACACAAGTTGATTGATATCCAGCAGCTATTCAAAGTAGGGTGCCTTCCTAACTAAACCTGATAAAAAAAATGTAAAAAAAATGCAACCAAATGCTTCTCGATCACAAACTTACAGCTGTTCCGAAACAGCCTGAATTCAGTATTTCAATGTCCGAGCTTTTTCTTTTTCCAAACATACTGGTGAATAAGTGCTCCATGTGGAGTAGAATAACTCATATGGAGTAACTTTATCGCTCAGCTGAGACTGGACTTGGATGCGAACGTTAGAACACACCCTTAAATTTATCTGTCTTCTCAAGCACATAGTGATGGTTCATTAATATTTAGGGAGTGGGAAAGACGGACATATTTAGCCCATTACACCACACCGTCTAAGTGCATAAATACTGTATGTCTAACATGGCAAATATATTAGTTTGTAGTTCAACTCAAGTTATACTTGAGCAAAATGTACATTCAAGCTAAACAGACAGGGATGAGGTATTTACATTAAATTCTAACATGACTGGTTGCTAGAAACGTTTAGACATGAACATTTGAGTTTCTCCTTTGATTTCTGACTGCATGTAAGCATTATTTCTGCAAACTACATAATTCAATATGTGCTTCCTATTGGTGAAGACAGGTTGGTCAATTTTGCCTTAAGAGTCCAGCTTTTGAAACTCAAAGTGACCAGGTCACCTGACCACAGTTAGAAAACACTGACATCATGATAAGGAATCACATATGATTTCTGTGGAGGAATGACTAAAATAAGACACTGCTGATCTGGTTATTTCAGAGATCTGAACCCTGTTCTTTAATAGCTGCGGACACGCCTTAGTGTGGAGATGTTTCCTCATGTCTCACCTGAAGACTGGTAACAGTGAGTCGGCGTGCGTCGTCTGAGGGGGCCAACACAGGCACCAGGTAGGGGCTGTCTGGTATGTGCTCGTCATTGAATTTCACAGAAACCTCGTAGTCGCCTGTAAAAAGAGAAATATGAGTGAGATGTAGAAGCTCACTTCTAGACAGGAATTATCCAGGATGGCAAACTATGCATACCAGGTTCATGAGCCACATAGGAAACACCACAGGACCCATCCTTCCTGTCTTCAAAAGAGATCTCTGCACGACTGGGGCCCTCCACAGCGATGGTGAGACCTCCAGCACCAGCTTCACGTGTCCAGATACTGAACTCAGCTGTAGAATGTAATGCAAGTTATATTAAAATTTCATAGATTTTTAAAGGATTTTTCAGTTAAGTAGTACATGTAATTGTTATTAGGCAGTAATTACAAAACATCTTACTTATTTTAAAGCAATCGTTCAGCAAACAATTAAATTTACAGAATTTCCCCCTTACTTCAAATGTATTGATCAGCCAACATGTTTTCTGTCTTTAGTTTTGCACTGGAGATATGAGTCTATTGTAGTTACTGACAAAGTAAAATTGACAAAGTATGGACAGAATTTAGGCTTCAGACCAGCTGATAATATTGATTAGCTGTTACTGATACTGCCCATTTTTATAGAAATCAGTATCATATAGGATCAGAAACCACATAAGTAATTTTTTAACATATTTGTACATATTTTTTAATATCTCAGCATAGTTTGAGGCAGGGGTGCCATAATTTAGTCGTGTAGCTTGTATGAAGGTAATCTGTTTAAATGCAATTCCATTATTTGTTACCCTTGCAGCTGCAGTGCAAAATCAAAGAAACCATTTTTGGTCACCAGAAATGTCTTTGCTGATCAACTACACCTGGTGTAAGAGGAAAAACTTCAATTTTTTTTTTTAATTTAATTTATGCAATAATTACACAACATCCTAGTTAATTTAAGTAAGTGTGAGATGTTTATGGTATTTCAGTACCTGGTACGCCTATCTCTGCCCTCTCTAGCCCAGGGCCTCCTGCCCTCACTTTATGGGCTCCTACTTCTCCCAGAGGCCCGACCGTGAACTGGAAGGGGCTTCCTGGCACATGCTGCCCACGGTACTTCACACTGACAGTGTGTACGCCCATCTCACGGGGCACGAAACGCACGCAGTAGGTGTTGTTGCCCGCTTCAACAATCTCAGCAGGCTCTGTGGTCCCTGAAGGGCTGGTGACCTGAGCGGACATGTCAAGGATATCGATCTCTGGACAGCAGAAACAGGGGAAAGAGGAGAAAGACAGAGTGGTGATGAATGGGTAAATCGCGGAGCGGAGGACTGAGAGAGAGAACGCAGAGAGTATATCAGTGAAGAGATAATGAACATAAAAAGGGGAGGTAGAGAAGTGTTTCCACTCAGCATCTCAGATGTATATACCATACTTTCACAGAGACGTGTGGGTGTGTTGTGTGGTGTCTGGGGATTCTCAAATTTGCATTTTGAAGTATGAATCTGCAAGCAACACAGCCTGACATGTCAGAACGCTGACACTGTACATGGATTTTTAAAGGGGTAAAAGCTATTGCACATCAGTTGAGAAGTGCAACATATAAAGGGACACATTTACAGTGCCAGTGGAGATATATGCACAAGCAGGTTCAAACTCCCTCATATACATTAATAGAATAAAAAAAATCTAACATTTTAATGAATATTGCGTTTGAAATCAGCTTTTTAACTTCATGAACTTGCTGTACACTATTTAAAAGATATGAGGGGACATAAGTCACAAATGTAGCTACCCTAGTAAAATTAATTGTGATGTAAAATGTGATTTACATTTGTCTTAAAATATTGTATTGATTTCCCAATGTAAACTTTAAGCAATATGTAATTTATTTTCAATTTCTGGGGTCTTGTTCTGGGTTTGACAACATAACAGCGAGATGATTAGTAACGTGCAAAGGCATTGAGCAGTGCCGGAAACTGCATTTATGGTATGCAGTATATTACAACTAGGGCTGCAACGATTAGTCAACAAAGTGTTGTTATTGACGCCGATTACAGAGAAAAAGTCACTGTGTTGCCTGATTAAAAAAGAGAAGTTTTCTTAAACAGGGTGACATGGCTGCACCATAAAAGAAGAAACTGTGTGCCACCCAGTCAAAACTTTGAATAAATGGTGGCGGCAAAGGTAGATTTACCAAAGAAAGCATAAAGGATGGATTAATTGTTTGTAAAGTATTTGTTTGTTGCAGCTCTAATTAGGAAGGTATGCGATCCACACACTCCATTTATGTGCACAACGACAACACATGCAGCGAACAAAAGCAAGCGCTTTCTGCCAACCTCTTCGTCCACATGCCCAGCCCTTAAAACGCACCCTCCAGCCCAGAGGGCCTTGCCAGGGATGCTGGGCCAATCCTCACTATCCCCACAGTGAAGTGTTTGACCCTCAGAGGCTGAGAAGAGCCCGAGGATGCCTGGGTGTTTCTCCCGAGCCGCAGAGAGCAGTGAGAGCGGTAAACTCCCCGAGAGAGGAGCTCCCGCGCTAGAGCCAGGAGGAACCAGGTCACTAAAGGAAGACAGACACAGGCAGAGAAAGAGAAGAGAAAAGAAGCAGTGAGGAAAGATAAAGGACAGCAAAAGACATGAACATTTTGAGGGAAAATAGCAAAAGGTGGAAAAGAAGAAAGAAAAGCAGGAAAATCTACAAAGAGTGGGTCTCCGGAAAATGTTAAGAGGACCAATCCTGATCCACTAAAATCAAACACGGCTGTGTGGGGTCAAGAAAGCTATTACTTAAAGTACTTGACTTGCAATACTGTGAGGAAGGTAGGCAAAACTATTTACTTAAGCAGTAAGTATAGCTTTGCTTGCAAAACAGTATATCATCAGGACAAATACTATTAACCATTAATGCAATAAAAGTATCTTGTTTTCAACAAAAAACTATTGGTATCTTGTGAGATCGAACACAAATTTTGGCTCATCATTTCCATCACCAGCAGATCTGATTACTTCATGAAGTGCTGATTAGCCAAACCATTTACTTGTCTTATATGTTACTTTGTGTATATACACAAATGTTAGTGATTTCTCAGCCAAATGCTTACAGGCCAGACTTACATTTGCAGACCAGAATTTACATCACCTACTGACCAACAGCATTTTACAGTATTCTATATGTAAAGTAGACTTGATAAATACTCAATTATTTGACCATATTCAGCATATTTCTCTATGCAGGGCAGAGATAACTCATGTATTTAACTTCCAATCAAAATACAAGCACAAATGATTCATTTTATTTGACAGAAAATTACAAAACCTTCCAACGCCAAACATAACATCAAATCTGTCCGTGTTTAATTTGTCCAATCTTTACTTTTGGGTGCTTTACTGCCACTTTAACTTTTTCATCCTTCTAATTTTAAAACCAAACAGTTACAGCAGCATCCTCCCAACAAAAGCTGTGCCCAAAGAAGCACTCACACAAGCAGCTAGCTAAACCCACCTCAGTGACCTTACAAATTTCTCTTTAATTACCTCCTAAAATAGCTAAAGAAAATATTTATGAGGAGGTAAGATATTCCATTTGCATAGAGACGGGAAAAGTCAAAGGAAAATGAGTGAAAAAACACTACTTTACAAAACTGGAGTTCAAAAGAATTATTAAAACACAGAGAAACTGGGATTTCTAACAACTGTGCAAAACCTAGCAGACCACCAAAACTGTCCCCACCAGATAAACAGTACCTAAAGCTTTCATCTTTAAGAGAGAGGAGAAAATTGACCTCCACTCTTGCTTCATATCTGAAAAAATCCAGAAGTTACCACCAAGATAACTCAACCCTATGAGTCTGAAGGGATGTGTAGCTGTCAATAAGCCCTCACTGAGGAAAGAAAATTAATAATAAAACTTTACCAAAACTGGTAAGTAAGGTTTTATGGATTGTCTACATTTGTAATTGAGGTTACTTGAAGCAAAAAATCCAACAAACTTCTGCGACACCCCAAACACATTTGTCTGATATGCAGCTCAGAACAGTGTGATTACAAATATAGCAGAATAACATCTAAAAATATCTAAAAATAACCCACAAAGTAGAAAGAAAAACGTAAAATGAAAATTCGCCCCAAAAAACACACATGATTTGCCAAAAAGGAGCTCATAAAATAAGCACAAATAGTAGAGGATAAATTCAATCCAAGTTCTCACAATTATTCATGGTAACTGTGACAGAAATAACAGATAACAAAAATAAAATCAACATAACCCAAATACAACACCGTGAATTTGTTAACAACCCTTGTGGGTGTGGACAAATATCCCTGCAGATTTCTTTGAAAAACCAAAGCAAGTCCCCTGAAAAGAACAGAAGCTGTAATAAACACAAAGAAGTTGTTATTCTGTTTAGTTGTAGAAGCTTCTATATAATTTCCTGCTAAATATATGTTTTCTGCTTTTTCCCCTGATGCCAAAATTTGAATAACGTGTACTTAACGGCCACTTTGACTGGAAATTAAATAAATGAAAGGGTGGTATCTGACTTTTGCACAGTACTGTATGTCATCATTGCTACTCAGATTGTTTAGATCATTCAGGCTATAGCCATCTGCTAGCTTCAGCGTGCAGCAGTGGGTGAAAGAGGCCTCACCTCATCCAGCCAGTGCATGAGCTCAGATAGCAGGGAGCAAAGCCCTGTGTGGCCACCACTCCATTACAATGCTCATTACTCACAGCAAACCCTCCATTAGATTACAACCCTTGTTACCCAAGACTGATGCTTAAAGACGGCTCACATATGGCTTCAGAAAGAGCGATTCAGGCTCTGAACCTAATGACCCAACAAAGGCAGCAAGTTCTTATGAACTGCGTAACACAAACTTCAACTAGAACATATGTAGAGTACATCCACCGAGCTCCATCAACACACCCCAGCCTCTGACATGACTGCGCAGCAACACATACGCTCTAGTCTCCAGTGCTCTGCAGAGAAATGACAGCACAGATGCAGCTACATCAACTAGTGTTCTCATTCTTTAATATCTGATTTAGTCTCCATATGTTACACTACATATGGCTTTACTAAGTGGATGACTAAAAAGACTCTCAAAGACCCACTTTGACAAGATCTGAGTGACTAAACTACATGTACACTTGTCACACAATTCTATAATGCAATAAGTGAGGCCTTGTTGGCAAGTCTACCACTACAGCGATGAAAATGGTAAGCAATTTACACTCAGTCACATTAAAAGCTCCAGTCCTGGATACCAAGATGAGCATGTTTCCGTTCTTAGGAAAAGTTATTTACATTAAAAACCACTCAGAGGACAACAGACCCTTTTGTACTCTTTCAGAAAACACTCCAGATGCCAAGCTTGACACTATACGGGCTTAAATGAAGGGATTGGCACAACACCAGGAGGAAATGAGAAAGACAGTGAGACATCCATCCTGGATCTTTTTATTCAGGTATGCCTCTTGGGGGGAGAACAAAATATCCAAACAAGGATGAGACACATTTCAGCTTGGCACACAGGAATGTTTACTCAGGAATTTCACCTGGCATGTTTAAGGAATACTAACCAGAAATTAAGGAGTCGAGAGTGCCCATGGATATTTGGGTAATTTATCCAGGGAAGGCACTTACGGAGAAAATATTTACTTAAAAATACGTATAACATGTAAAGCCTTAATCTCTCCTGACACCAGAAAAAAAAACTCAGCTATCCACCATCATCCATCTGTCTGAAATCCTCCTCACAAAATTCCACATACAATTCCTCACCATCGCTCTTGTTTTACCTTGAAATATTCACTAATATCGCTTCAGTTTTATAACTGTGATCCATCACTGGCTGGAGAAGAGGGAAAAGCAAACATGAGTCAAAGCGAACTATCTGGAAAAAAAAGAAAAATCCACAGGTGTTTCTGCCCATCTGCTCACAGATCTCAAAGGATGTGTAGCAGTCAAGAAGACATTACTGAGAAAAGTAAATAGACAAAAAAATTTGCAAAAATATTTGCAAATAAAGAAGCTGCTGGTGTTCTCAAAAGAACCTCTGAGTCCAGAGCTCAACTGAATGTGTTTGGGATTACCTGGATCGTAAGAAATACAACCACCATTTAAGATAAATGCTGGAGGTGTAGAAATATGTTCTTGCAAATTTCTTAAAAAAACTGAAAGCAAGTCTCCCATTAAGAATGAGGGCTATGATAAAAGTAAACTGTGTACGAGTTAAATAATGAAAAAAGTTGCATTTAGTTGTTAAGGCTTCTCTTTTGTCTCCTGACGCTGATAAATGAATAACTTCGTACTTAAAGGTCATTTGCCAGGAAATTCATCAAATAAAGAATCTGTGACGGTAAATAAAGAAATTACTGTCCTTGGAGAGACCGGAGGTTCAAGCAGATGTTTTTTAGGAACCTGGGTGGCTTCTACAGAAGACAAACCCACACCAGGTGTGGGATGTCTTTCCCCATGTCTTCATCAAATTCATTTACAGGAAATCACAAACAAGTTGGGTGGTAAGCCTTCAACTGCCAAACGACTTGCACATCTATGTGGGAGTCGTTTGAGAATGCTTGTCAGATGGAATCATTAATCTAAAAGTCTGTCACTGTGAGAAGATGAGGAAAATAAGGAGGATATATAAATACTTAAAATATTTTTTCTACATACTAGAAAGCTAAAAAGATCAGCCCTATGAATCCGGAATGGTCAAAACTAACAATAGCTGCTAGCCTAATTTATTCTGTTTACATTTTATGTTCTGTGGTGTATGTCAGTAATGATGCACATTGTACAAGAGATGAGCCAAAGTTAACAAACGGCCAAATGCAAAGATATGATCTCTTCACTCAACACCTGTGCTTCTGCCAGTGGCACTACATATCTCAAAAAATGGCCTCTGCAACAGTCTTGCGCTGAATGTATTAAAGAGTAATTCCCCATTTCAGCATAATTCAATTGTTGAGATGTAAATAAAGTCATTGATAGTGATTTAAAGTGAAATGATTAATTGGAGACAAACTTATTGACTTCACAATGGTGATGACAGGAACCAGGGCTCTCAATGTTACACAGATATTTTATTTACTATCCAAAATGACCAGTGAACATGTGTCTTCTTAATTTTATATGTAAAATTGTTGATAATTGTTAACCTGTGATAAATTTTGTCTTACAGCACCCTGCATGCCCTGGAGGAATATAAAAATACGTTTTAGGCCAAAGTCTTATCTCAAAGCTATCATAAACAAACGCCTCAGGCACCAGGCAGGGTATTCATATTTGTATTACATGTAATAACTTTCTGTCAGGAAGCTTTTAGAGGCATTAAACATTTCATCTGGTTCCTTTCACTATCACTGCAAACAATTTAGGCTCTTAAGTTTCTTGAGAACAGAGCATTTCACATCAAACCACTCTGAACAACTGTTTCCATCTTAATTTAATCATGTAGAAAAGGTTGCAGGGGTACTGCACACCTGTGTTACCATGCACAGACGTAAAGAAAGGTTTCAATTCTCACAGAGTCCGCCCACTGCTGGGATGGGCTCCCCCGCAACCCAGAGGGATAGGCGGCTTAGATGTAAAATGTGCCCTTACCTGGAATCTTTAGGTTAAGGTCGCAAACACTTCCAACTGTGGCAACGGAGGCAGCTTTCTGGCGATGGGTGATGCTCTCACGAATGCGTCCTTCTCCCGTTACTTTCACACTGAAAGGACTCCCTGTGGACAAGCAAGAAAAACGTATCTACTGAATGTGTGTGTGTGTATATATATATATATATATATATATATATATATATATATATATATATATATATATATATATACATATACACATATACATACACACACACACACACAAAAAAACTTCAGTAATGGCTTGACGTACCAGGAACATGCTCCTCAGCAAACTTGATGGACACTATGTAGGTACCAGGCTCAGTGGGACAATAGGAGACACCACAGGTTCCATCGTCCATGTCTTCTGTCTGAATGTCCACTTTACTAGGCCCCTCGATGGACAGAGCCAATCCTCCATAACCTTGGTGCAAAGGTGACAAATACTATTAGTAGAAATGAAATGGGTGTAATTAGGGTGCCAACTATACATAACTACTGTTACGAAAAGATTTAGTGAGATTAGTGTTTTATGAGCATGACACTGATAAGACTCAAGAGGGGTAAACCATCACAAACCTACAGCTGAGCCAATTAGACTAACCACACTATTATTTAAAGTTCGTAATAACTCAGAAATAATGTGCTGGTTTAAGGAGTGCTGTGGTACCAACAAAGTCTAATTTCTACTTCAAAACCAACCCTCGAGTCACTTTTCACAGCTTACTTGGATGCTATCCTAGCTAATTAAGTTCATTTGTGGGCGTAAAAAATAACTTTAAATTCACCATAGAAGAACCAGACATTTGGCAGGGACTGGTCATTTAACACTTACGCAGTACAAAATGCCGGAACCGGGTACCCCAGAGATGGTGTGAAAGAAACTAAATGGGTCATAATTACATGGCACCCTCCCAAGCAGGTGAGGGGGGGAAGTGCCTGCTGTATAGTGTTCCTGTCAGTATCACTCAATTGACTTCAACATCTGGTGCAGTATACTATATCAAAGGTATAGGAATCAGACAGGATAGCAGCTTCCTTTAAAGTGTAACTTACCCAAGCATTTCGGTAACACAAACCTTCATAAAGTCCATCAGATATTAAAAAATATCTTACATGGAGACAGGACTCAATACCTCTCTATACTCTTAGGAACACGTCTTGTGTTCTGTTGTAAGTCGATACTGAAAACCCTGTCTGTGAACTGCTTCTTTTAGTGGACTTACTGTAAGCCAGGTCACCACTGTTAAAGAGAATGTGTTCTTAATTATCTGGTTAAATAAAATGCAACTAATAATTATACAGCTAGAGCATGTTAAAAAAGTGAAAAACAACATCTGATCCTCACCAGCATCTCTCGTGTCCACTACAAAGTCAGCCATCTCAAACGTGCGTCCTTCCACCAGCCCCTGTCCGTACACTTTCACCTTGCTGGCATCTCCAATCTCTGACTGCACCACCATGATGGAGATTGGGCTGTTAGCAACATGGCGTCCATTCTTCTTAATGCTGACCAAGTGCTCTCCAACTTCTCGAGGGATAAAAGAAATACCTGGAAAAGTGAAGGTTGAAGATAATCATAAGCCGTAGAAGCTTAGCAGAGGAGAATTCAGAACGTTTTTGACAGAATTTTCTATAAAGAGGATATCATACCTTGTAGAGTCATGATTTAGGGAAATTTAGGGAGACTTACTATTCATTTACCAATTGTAAGAATTATTATCTAGTACTGTAAATTATTCAGTAACTTAAGAATCTAATGTGTGCCCACATGCAGACTCTTTATAAATTCACTACAACCTCAGCTCAGTACAGATGTACATTTGGCAGCAGGAGGAAAAAAAATCTCACCAATGCGATTGTTAGGCTGTCTCTTCAGCAGGCAGGGCTCGTCACGGCCTGAAGGGGCTTTAATGCTGGCTGTGAGCAAACTGAGGTCAGTTTCAGTGATGTCCAAAGCAAAGTCTGCAGCAGAGCCCAGTTTCACATGAGACCTCCTCTTGTTGTCTTCTGCAAACAAAAGCAAAAAGTAACAATAAGTAAACAATAAACATTTACATAAGCTGGAAGGGTCTTGAGAATATACAAAGGCAAAATACACTGAAATAGAACAATGCAATAGTCTGGTTTCTGTATTTAGATTGCCAATTTGCATGATGAACCAATGGAACATATTACTGCACATCCAGTTAAAGTCCTCACCTGTGATCCGAGCAGTAAAGGGGCTGCCAGCTATGTGTTTGTCGTTGTAACGCACCAAGATGTTGTAATCTCCTGGCAGTGTAGGCAGGTATGTGACCGTGCAGGTGCCATCCTTATTGTCAACACAACTGATCTCTGCCTTTGATGGGCCTTCAATGGCCAAGTCAAGGCCACCTATCATTACAATACATAAGATCTTGATCAATTCAATGATCAGACAGTGCTCCATAAAATCACACCACTCCACACTTCTGATCTACCCCTATCAGAGGCTACTAGATTTGTTTAAGGCTACAATTTTTTAAAATTCTTGAAACAAAACGTCATGCATCTTTTGTGATTGGTCTGTTTAGTGCATAGTTTATTGTTTGACCACTTTTAAAAAACTGATTAATCATCAAAACAATCCCAAGATGGTATATAACAACAGTAACAACCTTAGGAAATTTTAATGATACATGATATATATCATGATATTTAGTTTTTCTGACATTTTAAAAGATGGAACAAGCCAGAACGTTTGGAATTAGTGCAGTACATGAAATGTTTAATTAAAATAATTAAATTAATAATTTTTTGGTAGCATTTTTTTCTCATTTTTTCATCAAAACTATTAATGTAGTAATTTTATTACAATTAATTTAGTGATTTAACGTTAACTAAATCCAGTTAAACAGGACTAATGGTGTAATAACAATAATAATCAATCATCATAAGTAGCACAATCAACAGTGACAGCCTTGGAAATGCCTACCTTCTGCAGCATCCTCAGTGTAGATAGTGAAAGTGGCTGGTTTGTTAGCAACACCGTACACAAGACCAGGACCATGTGCCGTCACATTGGGGCTATTAGAATTGTTGACATAGAACTGCAGAGGACTCTCTGTGAAGCAAACAATGAACACATTGAGGTGGTTGTCACTGATCTATGACAGGCCGGGGGGAAAAAGGCATTAAAAACATTGCACAGGTGTTTCGTGTGAGCGTTAAAATTATAAATCACTCTGAGACATGCTGTATCCTAAGGTGAACTCCATCTTGTGTACACATGCAGCGATCCAAAGAGCAAGCTATTTCCACAGAGATGAGGCAATGAAGTACTGACTACTGCTGATTCTAGTAGTCTTTTCTTTCGAGAGTGCATTGTGGTCACCCAAAGGCTGTGCCTGAAGCAAACCTTTTTGCTTACTTCTGCAGAAACGCCTTTTTGAAAAATATTCAAAGGTGTAGCATATCCACTTTGGAGCACACAAGCAGAGTAATGTCAAACAATGGACAATGGCTATTTTATCTAGCCTTATTGTTAATACTGAACAGGATATCCACATGTGCAATAAGCCTCGAGTCACTGTTTACCCTGGGCAAATTACAACCCATTCTGCGGAAGAGGCTTCCAATGGAACTAGTGAATCAAAGACGATGTCATGCCATGACTGCCTTATACGGTAAAATAACTGCTTTGGGCAGGGCTTGTAGGGCTTGTCTTGTTGTCTTTTGGAGGGACTGAACTGGTGGACTACATGGGCATTAGGCTTGATATTTAATCCTGGCTGTGGCAGCTGACGACAGCGGTTTGGTGACTGGGATAATGTTAAAGCATAGTGTCAGTACAAGCCCTAACATGAGAAGCCCTGCCTGACTCTACAATTCCCGTACTTCACCTTCACTAAACAAATTCTCTGAGTCTGATGTCATACAGGAGATCTCTTTCAACATGTCAAGATAAATTATAGTCCAAATGATTATTATTGTTGGTCTACCCCACTTCACCTCGAAGAAATTGCTTGAAAGGTGAATCTTTTCAACTCCGGCATCTACAGCTGCCATGCATGTCCACTGTGGGACTATGGGAACAACACCAATCAGGCATAACATTACGACCACCTCCTTGTTTCTACACTCATTGTCCATTTTATCAGCTCCACTTACTATACAGATGCACTTTGTAGTTCTACAATTACAGACTGTAGTCCATCTGTTTCTCTGCAAACCACCTCTTATGCCAGCAGCATGCAATAAATCAAATGTTAAATCTCTCATGTTTTTGCTTTTTATAAAACAATAAAACGTGACCTTGTTGAGAAGATCAAACACTATTTGTTTAAAAGATGTGGATATTCAAATAGCAAGAATGGTTAAAATTCCCATCCTTGTTGCAGAGAAAGCGGTTAATAGTTGCAAGAAACTCTCTAACCTGGTATGTGGGTGCCATTGTATTTGATGTGCATCTCGTGAAGGCCTGCTTCTGTAGGGGCGTATTTCACAGTTACCGTTCCATCCTTGTTGTCGATGATCTCAGGCTGGGCTGTTTTGCCAGAGGGCATGTGAACTTCTCCTGGAATGGAAAGATTGTGTCACTGACTAGCTACATATCAGAAAAAAGCAGAGCTTGATTATTCAAAGTGTCTTAGAAAAAAACAGTTTCTTCTTCAAAATTTTAAGAGATAAATTGTTATTATTCAACTTTTTTACTATTTTTCTTAAGAAAATTTTAGGGTAAGTGCTACTTGTTCGAGCATGCTTTTTGTCTGTCCGTCTGTCTTAAGGTTTCAGTGAATCTAGCCCCTGTTCTGATGCTGAACACCATGCGTGAAAGTCATGATTTCCATGATTAGAACAGTTTCTGACCTGTGATTTCACCCTTCCTGAAGGCAAACGGAATCACCATGTCAAAAGGCCGGAAGCCGGCACCATTCATACTGTTGACTGGAATGTACGCCCCATCTGTGACCTGTGTGTGAGAGGAGATTTGAAATCAAAAAGCAGACATTAACAGTGTACAGACAGGCATCCCAATCCGTGCTAAAAGTGAAAGAACTGTGGAGGAGCAGAAAAGTTGAGACAGCAGACGCCTCGTGATTCAGCTGCAGCAGAGACGTGCATTGGACGAACAAGTGGAGTGACCGAGGAGAGGGAAAATAGAATGATGATTCAAACTCCCAGCACACCTGGAACAGTCTGGAAGAGAGAAGAAATGAAGTAGAAAATAAAAACCCATAACCATAGGAACCGAGCTGGAGAGATGGTATTGGCACATGCTGGCCTTCCTTAGGCACTCATGAGTTCAGCACAGGTTTTTTTTTCTTTGATTTAGAGAACTGCCCCCTATTTTTCCTTGTCTGGTGGAAACGTAGCGTGACTGAGTTGGTATAAGGTCAATAAGGACACATGGGACATGAGCAAGGTGACAGCCTCCAGTTCAATGGAGGTTCACAGTGGTGCTCACAAATGTCACCACTTAGTGGTTTAATGGAGAAAGAAATGTCTGGATCATTTTTTAATGAATCAAACACGGTAATGCTTACACATGGACTACATTCACTTAGTTTTGGAGTGAGGGAGAACTGTGACTGCAGTTTGGTTGCCATGCAGGCCACTTTAGTTTATTTAACACCAGATTTGCCTCCAAGCAAAACTAAGGCGCTCTAAAAGCCCCAGACGGAGTTTCCCCCGAATCTCTGCCATGAATGAAACAAGCTAGTGGAAAAAAAAAGCCGCTTCCAGAGCGAATCAGGCACAGAAGAGAACAGAGTGCTGATTCAGGGAGGGGGGGGAGGGAGATGAGCCATGAACGGACAGCCATTTCCTGAAAAGAATGATGCTTGATTGGTCAGAACAGGGCAGAACTGGATGGAAATCACTTACATCACAACAGAGAGAGGGGAAAAGAGAGACCAAGACAAACACGCCGACAGACAAATAGGCATTTAGGCAGCCCGGAGGTCAGTGCAGAGGCTGAAAAAGAGGGAGTGGTGACGGCAGCAGTGTGTTCAAGCTCCCCTAGTAGGCGCACGCTGTGTAAAAGGAAGAGATGAGAGATGAATGAGGGAAGGAGATGAAAGAGGGATGAGGCAATGAGGAGAGTGCGTGTACCCAGGGCTGGAAGCCGGCGCCTGGAGCTGCTTGCTGCTGCTGCTGCTGGACTGACTGCTGCTGCAACAGAGGAGCCTCATCAGTAGCCTGGGAAATGAGAGAGTGGGTTACACATACACGCACACAGGCCACACAGGAAGAGGAACACTGGACATGCTGCTGCCAGGACTTAAAAACAGGCCTAAATATTACTCTATTATTTTGTTGTTGTTGAAACCTAGTAACATTATTACAATTTCCATTGTACCATTGGTAGCACACTTCATGTACATCAGTGTCACCATAATTCTTGATGTTGAAATCAGACTCAACACCATAAAACTGCTTCCACTCTCACTTCTCACCACATTAGTGTTTCTTCCCATCACATTACAGTTATCAGTAAATCCAGCTAGGCTGCTACTTGTTAACATCAGCTATGTTAACATCAAATGTTCCATGTGATACGATGGATAAACTAACATTAAATCATATTGTATATTTTTTGCATATTTTTTTTATGTACCAAATATGAAAAGAATGCAAATGAGATGCCTTTTCACTAGTGGTCTCAGACTTTTGGACCGTACTGTATATATCTGCATGAGTGAATATCATCGTCACAACAAAACCTGATGTTACAAAAATGATAATATACAGAAGGAAAAATATTCTTAATTCTTAAAAGAAGTTAACCCTCTACTGCATGCATTATGAGAGTAATAATCAATTCACTTTTCTTGCATAAAATGGTCCTTGATTGATTTTTTCAGACCTGAATATTAAATTAAAGAAAATAAAAAATAATAATAATGTGTGCAGGGGTCCTGTTGGAGTATGTTGTCTTGAGGCAACCTAGTGCGGCAATGTTAAGAAATGACAGAACCGTGTTCCCTGAAGTGGTGAGACCTGGCTTGTGATTGGCTAAATCCATTCCACTGTCGCACAATGTTGCTTCTAGGCAACGAACACATTTCTGCAAAATCCCATAACAAAAAATTTCTACTTAAAAGAGGTTTAAAAGTGCCCACCAAGAGAGAGTATGACCAAGCACATGCTTTTTTTTTATACTTACTCAAACTCTTCCCTTTATTGTTAACTCTTTCGTTGTCTTTAAATATGCATGATGCTATTGTAAAGTGAAGAAAATGAGTTTGTTGTCCTGAGGCAACACCGTGCAGTAGAGGGTTAATGGAAGATTTTTTTCCCCTCAAAGTAATACTGAATCCTTTCTAGGGTGGGGCAATGTTACTGTCGATATGTTTCCTCTTAACTGAAGGACAGCAAGATGCTAGGGACTGAACCTTACCATGACTTTAAAGGGGCTGCGTGGGATATTCTCTCCACCGAAGCGAACATAGATAACGTAAGTGCCTGGCGTAGGTGCAGTGTAGAAGATGTCAAAGGTCCCATCCTCATTTTCGACGACGTCAGCCTCCACCTCAGTCCCATCAGGGGTGACCACGATGCAGGTCACCTTCCCTTTCCCCGCACCTTTAGTGTTCACCACAAAGCCCACCTCCTCCCCAATGCCGATGGTCGGCCCAATGCCAGGTCCTGCAGGATAAGAATTAGATAGTTAGAATGTGCTGAGAAAATTTGCGGAAATACAGTTTAATATGGAAATCTCTCACTTCAAGTACTATAGAGCAACTTCAATCTATTCCTGTAGGTACTATACATTTGTGTTGACTATCAATGTGTTCTTTTTTCTTTTATGATTTCAAATGGTCACCTTATTTACTTTATAAACCTTACTACTAATTTATATTTATTTCTTTTTTGGAGGGGATCTTTAGATTAAATTCTAAAAAAAAAAAAAATCAATATAAATAAATGGACGGGGAAAAAAGAAAAGGAGTGAAATCTGCTGATGAAGGGTAAAAGGAATAGCTTCTTTCCAGATTTTGTCTTACGTCAATTTATGCCTGTATCTGCCTTGTCATTGAAAAAGCCATGTTGCAAGGAATTTCAATTTGTATTGTGTTGGTGGGATTTTTTTGCTTTTGTAAAATATTTTTGGTACTCTGTGTTTATATTGGATATGGCATCTGTCTCTGGTTCAGTTCACATCAGTAAAGCATCCGTCATGTCAGTTCAGGTCATCTACATTTGAGGCAAAGGGAAAAACTCCAAACCACCACATTTCTGTCCAGTTCTTTTCTTGCAACTGCTTTTGACAGTCAAACTGAGGTCACTCACCAGTGACCGTGCACTTGCTAGCATCTCCTGTGGTAGTTGCTCGCACTCTGTATGGAGACGTTGGGATCTCGTCGCCTCCGTACTTGATCACAATAGTGTAGCGGCCCACCTTGTCTGGCACATACGACACCTGGTAAGTCCCGTCCTGGTTGTCCTGAATGCTGGCTTTCTTCGGTTTTCCATCTTGGTCCTGAACAAAATTAAGATCCATATATAACACCACAGAGCTGTCTGTAACCTGTACTGCCAAAAGCAGAGTGGTGACAGAATGACTAAGAGGAAGAATTCAGCAATACGCTTCCTCCAGCCAAGAGGGAGCGCAGAGGTCTGAGCACGCACTGAGCTCAGCACGCAGCACAAACTGTCAAACATAAGTGGGGGACAAAACAGCGCTGAGTAGTTTATATCCTCTACAATCACACAGCACAGCTTCATCAGTTACAAGACAATGAAAAAGGAGAGCAAGAGGGTCATTTTTTCTGCGGGAGACATCTGAGACGTAGACTCATGATTAAGGGACTACGTTTGGCTTTAGAATAATGTCCATTTATCTCATTATTAGTCTCTTATGCTGATCCACAGACAGGCTTTTGGCTGGAGAGGAAGAGACACGGAGCTAAGGGGAGAAGTGTTGTACGATCTGACTAAAGCTAAAGCCCAGATGACCAATGTGGTCATTTCTCAAACACCCCAAGAGAAGATTAAATAATACGTTGTTTCCAAATGAGGAGATGACTACAGAGCACTGTGGGTCTGTGATAATACGATGTAATCACAGACACAGTGGCAAGCAAACAGATGAGTTTTCATTATTACAGAAACTCTATCAAGAGCAAATTGTTTCAATACATTTGTGGTTTATAACTTGGCTGCTGAAGGCAGTTAATATCCAATGATAACTGAATCAGAAAAAACTATAACAGCCTTTCAGTTTTTTTACATAAAATGATTCTGAATACACTGAGTGACATTGTTTTACCATAGTTTTAAGAAGCTTTTGGCCTAAAATATACCAGACCTCACCAGTGCTTTTGTGGCTGAACGCATTTAATTTCTCACAGAAATGTTCCAATATCTAATATAAAGCCTTCCCAGAGGAGTACAGGCTGTCACTACAGCAAAGGAGGACACAACTTTGGACAGTAATACACTATAGACAGTGCTGGGGACAATACAGCATCTATTGTTTCATACAATAACAGAAAACAGACACTTGTCACAAACTTTGAATGGTTAAATTACAAAAAAATAAAAAAAAATAAAATATATATATATATATAAGTTCTAACAGTTTCATTTTAGCCATGTGCAATATGCATAATATGAATGGAAGTCGAAAAGTAGTGAATTTGCTCAGAACTGCAAGGGACTGTAGGTTTCCATGCAGGGCCTTCTCACCGTGATCTGGACTGACAGTTGGCCCTCTCCTGCGTCCTTGGCATCGATAGTGAACTCCACAGGCAGGCTGGCGGGCAGGCCTGTGGTCAGACCCGGACCGCTAGCACGAACCTTACTGGCATCGTGAGTGGGCAGGACGCGCAGCTTAAAGGGGCTGGAAAAGAGGACAGTGGGTGAACCGCAATTACAGATTAGACGTTATTAACCAATTCCCTGAATGCAAGTGAAAACATCTGTGATGGAGTCTGACTACCTGCGTGGAATCTCTTCATCAGCGTACTTTACTGCCACTGAGTAAGGCCCTTCCACAGAAGGAGTGTAAGCTACAGTGTGTGTTCCATCTCCATTGTCTGTTATGTCAACAGGCTCAGCCACACCTGAACAGAAACAATGATTACCATTAACTAAATTACAGCAATTTAGTCTCAGCTCTTACTTAGTACAATCATTAACAAAACCACAGCGCTCACTCTAGACTACGCCTAGCAACTCAAGATACACTACAGGCCAGAAGTAAAACTGCATTTGTAAAACTAAAAGATTTAATTTTTTCAAGAGATAACAAACTCAATGGACAGGAAAAAAAAATGTGTGCATCATTTCTTCTCTAGTACTTCTGCATGTATACATTATGTATCCCCAAGCCTTAATAACAGTGACAGGCAAGGACCACATCAGCCTTGTAAGAGAGAATCTGTCCATGTTAGAAGATTGTTTGTAAAGAACTAAAAACTGTAAGTGACTAAGGGTTTAACAATGCATTCTGACACTGCAACAGATAACTGCGACACTATATCGTGGATATGTGACAATGCATTGTGAAGAATGGATTTTCTATTAATTATCCCACCTAATGCAACTGCACTGTCTGAACACTTAAGTTTAGAAACAATGAGCATCAATCAACAATTCACTCTAGTACTCCCAGCTCTAGAGTCATTAGGAAGCGGTGCAACACAGAGTACAGTCATTTCCTTCATTCAAATTTGGCTCAGAATTCTTTGTTGAAAATATCACGAGAATATAGAAACATGAATCCGATATCATAAATGGAATTGAATCAATGGCCAAGTATCTTAGTATCTTACACCCCCATAACTGACTGCTAATACAACGTGAACTGTTTTCCTATATTACACGTTGGAGTACGATTTTTTCATCTATACATTTGGCCTGCACTGCATTTCTTTCCTTGTTTTTAACTTCACACAAAGGATTCTTGCAGGACAGTCCAGTATGTCACCTTTAGGTCCGGTCACAGCCACAGAGAGAGGTGCTATCCCAGCCTTGCTGCAGTCCACAGTGAAAGACTGAGGGATTTTGGCTCGTACGGCTGAACCAACTCCAGGCCCGGATAGTTTCACCTTACTGGAGTCCACCACATCCTTCACTGGCACCTTGAACGGACTTCCTGAAAAGAGAATTCGACAGAAATACAGTTACACTGTCAAACGGCTTCTATTTTATAAAAGGAAAAGTGATTGATGCAATTTTGTAATTTTCAAGGCATGTTGTTCAAATTACCCATCAGGTCCTTTAATTATATAAAGAGATTTACCCTCACAAACATGAAATGGGTGGTAAAAAACGGCATATATGCTTCCTAGAATTTTAAACATGCCATGTAAATAGTGATTTCAGGAAAAAAGTTAGCTATCATGTAGCACAGTGGTGTTGTTTTTCAGTATGCAAAGCCACAGAAACAAGACGCAGTTTGATCATCACATTCTGGAGCTTATAGACTGAAAACTCAGACACAGCTGTCAGGTCTGTCTTGGCTGGAATGTTCTGCGTTCTAAAATACAGCCCCATCAATTCTAATAGGCATGCATTATGCAAGCCAGTAACACTATCTAAAGGACATACAGTACGTGGGAGTTCAAACTATGTGAACCTGGCAAGTTTTAAATGAAATATGAGGACAGTTTCTGCTATGAAGAATGCATTAGCTACAATGCATTCCTTAGATTCAGTATATCTTGTTACTGTGCAAAGTGCATCATGAAGAAAAAAAAAGGGGTTAGTGGAACACAGTCTTGACTAGAGAAATAAATCATTTCACTCGACACACAGACCCTGCAGTGAAGGACAATACTTTCTGTTTGTCTTCAGTATTGCTAATGTATCATAAAGGCTGTAATCCACCACAGATCCATGTTGTGTACCTGGAATGTGCTGTCCTCCATATGTAATGTTCACATCATAAAGTCCAGGAGCATAAGGAGTGTACTCCACATTGCAGCTGCCATCTTTGTTGTCTTTGCAGGACATCTTTGACTCTGATGGACCCTCAACCGTGATACCCAGGCCACCAATACCAGCTCCTCTGCATTAACATCAGTGTATTAGTCATTTAATTTCAACAGTCTCAATTAATGCTTAGAAGACTATTATTGCTATTTTGGTATACATTTTATTTACATGTGTAAGACAATATTAATTATATCAGTTATATTATGAATTATATTATGAATACTTCTGACATTTTCTATTGGCTTTGACTTCAAACAATGACAAAAACAGGGCAAAGTTGTATAGAATATTTTACTAAAACACAGCAGTACAATAACTTAAGTCCAGATCATAGTCAGAATAAAATATCTCCTCTTCGACATTGGATAATCAATATAAAGTATTGACTGATATCTTAGAATGTGCACTTGTTTTCAAAGAGCTCCAAGTGATTAAACAAAATCTAAGAAGAAGCGTTTCAAGGCATATACGAAACAGCAAAAAGGTCTAAGCACGGCATGAAAAGATGTGGCACCTGGTGATGATTGAGAACTTGTTAGGTTTGTCAGTCAAACCTTCCTCCAAGCCAGGGCCTTTAGCTACAACGCGGGTAGGATCACAACCCTCACCCACAGAAACCTGGAAAGGACTCTTGGGCACAGGAGTCTCATCATACAGCACCTCCACAGCATGAACACCTGGAAGCAATATTACACAGTGTGACCTTGCCATTAAAAATAGTCAGCATTATAAGACACTATTCACACCATTTAAAAACACCAGCTGGCCTTTACATTGGGGATAAATTACATGACAAAAGTAAATACTATATTTTTACATTAACAGATGTCCCCCCTGATTCTCTTTAATTTTCTGTTTGAGATACATTTCATGACAGCAAAAAATTACATTCTAATTTACATCGTCAGCTTGATATATGATTTTTAACAATATGTTAAATAATAAATTGGCAGATTTAGCCAGTCATAAAGGCATCTGGGCCTGTGATGGACTGGTGACCTGTCCAGGGTGTTTTCTGCCTTAAACCCAATGAGCACTGGGATAGAATCATGCACCCCATGTGACCCAGGAGGATAAGTGGCTTAGATAAAGTGTGTGCAACTACATCTGTGCAATATTAAAGGGGGTACTCTGCTTTGTGCTGTACCATTCTCAAAGGGCGTGTACTCCACTTTGTAGGTGCCATCACCCTGGTCAGCAATGATGCAGTCTGTGGCAGCGCCTGATGGGTTCTTAACTTGCGCCTTAATGTGCTTTCCTCCAACTTTGGTCAAAGCTCGAGCATCCACAGTGAAGTCAGTGGTAGCCTCCCTGAAGATGGCTAAAGAGTGACCAAAACTTAACACAAGCCAAATGATGCATGAGGGAACAACTGAAGTAAAAAAAAAAGCTGAAAGAGTGCATGGAGCTCATAAAGGATGACATTCTTTTCATAAAGCGATTCATCTCCTTCATAAAAACGTCATCGCCATTCTGGTGCTCTTGAAGTAAAACTCTGATCTTTCACCAAGACCTTTTTCTAAGATGAAGGACCCCTTTACAGTTGAGGCTGAGGTCACTGAGCGTAAAGTGAGATGTGGAGAGGCTCTGAAAAAAGAGGCATCCGTAATAACAAGCCTTTGAAAAGAGGTAGTTAGAAAACCATGAGGAGTCTAAAGACAACCCATGATGTAATGGGAACCAGGAAAACAATGAGACTCCTTCAAATGACATGAGCTTTGGATATTCCATTAATTGGATTTGAGAACTAGAGCACCTTTGTGGATGAATAAGCAGATTCTTATAAAAGAATTAGAAATGTTCTGATTCAGTGTGAAAGATTCCACAGATATATTTTTACCGGTCAGTATCTGCTGTATTACGCCAAATCCAACAAATCTAATTCTGATTCTTTAAGGCAGTTAATCCCATTGTGCTCTGTCATTGTAGAGTGGACAGACAGACATTAAGAACAACCACCTACAATAGGGACAGGCAATGTGGTAAAAAATATCACAATACTCAAAGGCATGCTAACACTGTGTTTTTCTGATGTTTTACAAGTTGGAACACAATACAATGATTTCAATGGTTTAGATACTGTGCTGCCTAAACCCAGTTAAACAGGACTGATCATGCTCTCTTTGCAACGAAACATGCAGTTTTTCTGGTCATATCAACAACATGCTCAGAGTAGTGTTTTGTGACGTAATCCTTCAAGATAATGGTAAAACACTGCCATATCACTCACTCCTTTAAGAGCATTCTAAACATCTGTAGATTAAAAATTAAAAAGCTCAACAGTCACTTGTAATATCTGCAATTCCAGTATTAAGACTGGTTTTCATCAAAACATGGTGACTACATACAATCACAGTACTCAAAATATGAAAGCACTTAAGACACCACAAAACGATCATTTAAATAATCAAATAAGCAGAAAAAAAGTACATCAGTACAGAATGTGCACATAAAGCAATTTTACCATAATTTGCAGCGTAACATATCTTAACTAAATATGACTGGTTAAGTTCAATGTATTTGAAGTGTACACCGTGTGCATTATCTATGAGCATACAAATATAATGGGACTCTATAGGAATAAAAGTTGCAGGAATAGCAGCGTGCTGTTCCGTGCACGTGTGATTTTGACTCACTGATGCAGCCTGTTTTTCATTTTCAAAAGCAGCAGCATGGAGCAGTCGCCAAACCATGAGGTTCAAGCTAGCAAATTTTATCTACACTTGATAACACGATTCCCACAATGAACCTAATCAGAGACACCTAATCAGAGAGGAAAATTTTGCTGTTTCTTTTCTTATATATTTAATCAGCTGAGCAAATACTGTCAAACACTAAAGCTATGGTGATAACGGATATATATTTCCAGCTGCCGTAGCGTCCCTACAGCTCCCAATGCTCAGTCCCTATAATTGGCTAAATCAATACTAAATGACTTGGAAAAACGACAGAGTGGGGGAAAAAAAATATGATCAGGACATCTCTATTACATATACATGAAAATTCTGTCACACAATTGTGCACTTACCATCTCCTGCCACTCCTGGTCCGAACACCTTCACCTTGCTGGTGTCGACGGCCGGATCAACCACCACCTTGGCAGGGAAGCTGGGCACAGCCTTTCCTCCATACTTCAACATCAGTGTATACATGCCAGCCGTCAGAGGCACGTAAGTGACCGTGTAAGTGCCGTCCTTGTTGTCCAGCACTTCGGTCTTGGCCTTGGAGCCCGTGTCGGACACCGCCTCCAGCGTCAACTGTCCAGGCCCAGCTTTAACACAGTCCACGTTCACTACGCTGATCTCTCCCACCTTACCACGCTTCAGACCTGACCCAGAGGCCACTACCTTGGTGGGGTCAAAAGGATACTGGATGTCAGCATGGAAGGGAGAGCCAGGGATATGGACATCCTCAAAGAGAATATTGACCAGGTATTCTCCAGGCTCAGTTGGAAGATAGGACACAGAGCAGGTGCCATCACCATTGTCAGAGCATTCGATCTTGGCTTCTGTGGGACCCTCCACAGTCAGGCCAAGCCCACCTGTACCAGCACCCTTTGTGTCAATGGTGAACTCAGCAGGGCTCCCAACCAGGCCTCCTTTCAGTCCTGGACCAAAGGCTTTCACCTGCAGAGAACAGAGTCTCATTAAATTCTAGTGGCCTCACTAAAATATTCAATAAATGTTCACTATTATTCCTTAGAAGTCAGTTATGACCAGCAATAAGAAAATCATGTTATAATCTGATATTACTTCTCAGGTGTAGTTCACTGAAAGAAGCAGATGAATTCTGTCAAAAGTGCTGACGGCAAACGTTCGATCAATACCACATGCAAGTAGAAGAGATTATTTGAATGTAAAGTTAGTTATATTTTGATGTTTTTGCTGTCTGACACTGAAACAAACAGAATAAAGTGCAAACTCAAAACCGCTAATAGAAAATGTAAACAGAATGCAAATGTAATTTATAAAGTAACTATGTTACAATGTAATTACATTATATGTAGCAAAATAACTCCCAGGGTTAAATCACCAGTATTTTTAATGCATCACAGTCAATAGTAACTTTTAATTCTTGCTTAATCCACTAATATACCAGCAAATATGTTCAACATGAATACAAAAAAAGAAAAAAGAAAAAAAAAAAAGAAAAATATAAACACCCAAAACCAAAGCATTCTCACCTTGCTTGGATCTGGCGGTAGCATAGCGTCCACAGGGAAAGGGCTCCCAGGCACTGGGTTTCCATCATAAAGGACATCTACAGTGTAGACGCCCTCTTCTTTAGGGACGTACTTCACCAGGCTGGCACCCTTGCCAAGCTGGGGCTCCACTACACATGGCACGGATTTGCCTGATGGACTGGTGATGCGGGCTTCTAGCTTACCCTGACCGCCTACTCCCTTTGTGCCGACTGCGAACTCCTGATCTTGGCCGACTTCCACTCCTGAAATGCAGGTTTATAATATATAAGCTTCCAGTGCTTGTCAACTACATCAGGCTTGTAGCTTCAGTTCACTAAAGGAGCAAATTTTGGACACCAAACATGTCTTGGTTGATCATATATTTGGGGTAAGAGGAAAGATTGTGTAAATTCGATTTTTGGCTGAACTATCACTGGAAGGAATATTACAGAAATTCATTATTCTGCAGCAGAGCCTGTTTTAAAGGGCAAGTTTATTTAGAGTTCTGTGAACCCTCTCCACAAACCAGAAACACATGCACTAATAAAACTCTCCCGATGTAATGTAAAACAAAGCGGCTTTACAGCGCTCTTTAGTATGTCGTCAACAACTGTGTGGTGAAAGTTATAGAACAGAGCACATTACTTGCTGTAAAAACACACAGAGCGCTGGCAGCAGAACGTGCAGTAAATGATTCACTGAGCCACACAAAGCCATGTGCGTGTGTGCAAGAGGGAGAGAGAGAACTCACTGCTTTCCAAGCCATTGACTTGGACCTTGCTGAGGTCCAGCGGGGCTGCCACTCCCACAGCAAAGGGGCTTTTAGAGATCGGGTCACCTCCAAAAGTTACTGTTATCACCATTTCACCCTGAAGGGACAGAAATCACGGAATTTGATACAGCAAAACATCTCTTGCCTCAACGGTTAAAAGGCTTCACTTATGCTCTATAGCTGCCAGTATAATATCTGGGATGTTTTTATTGGGGTGGGGGGACAACACCTGTTGGATTGGAGTGTACTTGACAGTGTAGGAATAGTCATAGTTGTCAATGATTTCAAAGTCCTGGACAGGCTGTCCTTTGTTAGGGCCAGAGAACTGCACGTCCAGTGGAGCTTTGCCTGCTCCTTTTGTTTGAACGGTGAAATGAGTAGGTTTCCCACTTTCCACACCTGGAGAAAAAGAGAAAATAATAAGGGACAGAGGTCAAGATCCACTGTCACTGTCAAAACAAAAGCTTGAATCTCTGAAATGGTAAATCTTGCTAATGTAATGAGTTTATTCTAAATAACTTTGGTCATTTTCTATTAGATCATTCATCATGAAATGTTCAGCACTGGGTGTTTCAAATGGATGTGGAGGAAAAAATGTGAAAGAGAAGGAGAAAGAAGAAGAAGAAAGAAGAAGAATGATGAGAAGAAGCAGAAGAAGCAGAAAGAGAATGAGAGGGAAGAAGTCGTAGTTCACTTCACACCACGGGACCTGCCATAATGGAGTTAGCAGGTTTTGATGTTACAGTGACATGATGTCACCCACCCTTTTAAAATGTCAAAAAAGTGGAGAGAGAGGAAAGGAAAACACCACACAGACCATGCTTATTGGACATGGAATAACAAACCTGCTCGAGCGAGTCCTGGCCCGTCTGCTTTGACCTTAGATGCATCATGCGAAGGTTCTACCTTGACACGGAATGGACTGATGGGAATTTCCTATGTTGACACAAAAATAAACAAGTGCCCCATGAGCATCTTAAAAATTCTGAATGTTTACTTGTTTTTAAAAGAAAAGCTGAAAAACCTAACATATTAGAACTGCTATCGTTGTTTAATGTTGAATTTTTTGTTTTCTTCTTTTTCATTCAATAATAAATGCCATTAGAAGTTCCCTGTAACCGAACAACAGTATGAACAGACATTATGCAAGCCTGCACAGGTTTAACAGAAAAGCCACTGCTGTCACTCACTTGATCTGTGAAGAGGACTTTGATGGTGAGACGTCCAGCCCCTGGTGGGATGTACTTGACAGTGATGGTGTCATTTGCATTCGGAATAATGTCAAAGTCTACATCCTGTTCCTTATCGCTGATGACATTGGCATCACACTTGATACCAATACTGACATCACCTATAAGAGTCACAAATGAAATTAAAAGTAGCTATACATATATACAGACACACATATGTATATGCAAATTACACGCAAACACACACACACACACACTGCTCATGTATGTGACTTTTTTACTGTGTGTTTTTTTACTGTATATTACAACGTCTGATTTGCATTACCTTCTCCAGCCTCTGTGCAATCCACTGTGAAGTGTGTCGGCTCATGAGCTTTCAGGCCAGTCCTCTCCACTCCGGGGCCAAACACTTTCACCTTGTGAGGGTGACTTCCCTTCCCAACTTGAACCTAGAGCAGAACAGCGTTAACGTTACATTTAAAAACCACCAAGCTCCCAAAAATGTTCAGCAAATACAAAATAATGTCTTGCAGTAACTCAGCATATAATTTGCGACTATATAAAGGAGCAATAAGCTGCATTTTCCTACTTCATCTTGATCATGTTCGTAATTCTGCCTTGACAGAGACAGGATATGTTCTTCAACTGCAGTGTGAACACTGTAGAAAAGGAAAACATTTCCCCAACCCACAGAGCAGTCTAAGCCTTTACTTTATTAGCCTATATAACACCACCAAGTAGCGTTTATCTGTTTTCCATAAGACCACCTGCTACCTATTGCTCCTTTGACCAACAACTGTACAACTGATTAAACATCCAAAACAGAAACACAAACAAAAATGTTTACTGTAATCAGATTCCATTACAAATTCCTAAAAAGAATCAGAACTGCTTCCCAGTACAGACACATACAAATAACACAAAGAAATGCCGTATTAAAGCATGACTCGGATTGAAATTTATTAAAAAGGTCTGAAAACATTCAATTCACAATCAGTCAGTTTCTAAAAAGGTCCATCTTTTTTCATCACAAAATAGTCTCAGTGCGGTCCAAACCTCCAGCAGTTTTGCCAGTTCAGTCATGGTCCTACTGATTGAAAGACATCCTCCAAGTTTACAAAGTGTAAGCAGACACTCAGAAGACAAATTTCAGTCAGGCGAAAATGTTCAGTCAGACGAGGAGGAGGCACAATCTGGAAATGTACTGCTGCAAGTTCATAAGTACAATTTTTAGGCAGCCTTGAAAGTTGTCTGGTGCAATCTAATTACAAGTGAATCAAATTACAATGTGAATAATGAATGATTTAAAGAAATGTTATTTTCAGTGAAATGCTTTCTCGTCAAGATAGTATAAAGGCATCATTTGAATTAATTGCTTAAAAGAAAATATAAAATGGGTTAAAGATGAATAAAAAAAACATTGAAACACTTTATTTTGACAGTCCATAAGAGAAAACTAAAATATCGATCAATTAGTATCTAGTAAACTCAGTTTAACATTTCCCCTAACCCCAAACTTAACTCTTCACTCTAACACTAACATTGAATCCAAAGACAGAACCTTAATTCCTTGCTTTTTATCCTGATTGACAAATTTAATTGATCCAATAACAAAACTGAGTTTCATCGGGTTGATCGCGCGTTCAAGGATAAGCTACCAGTGACCATCAAAATAAAATGTGATTTATGAATTACACCACATTAGTGCACAATATTTTTGGTTAATTACATTAGTTCATTGAAAATACGATCATTGAAATGATTAAAAACATTGTTAAAAAAAATATAAACAAGATTTGTTAGAATATTAATGCATACCTTAAATCACAAAACATTCAATGCAATAAAAAAATAGTAAATAAAAAAAGAAAGAAAAGACAAGCTTTCTTCAGTGCCATTATTACTGCATGCAGCAAATTAAATGAGAGAAACAGAGCGACACTCCTCAACATAGGTGGTAATGATAATGATGGGTTTGCGCTTCGGAGCAGGAGCGTCCACCTCAGAACTGACCGGGTTAGCCTTCACTTCTGACACTTTAAAATCCATTAAGTTAACAAGCTCAGGGGACTGGTTAGTCGTTGAGGTGTTAGAGAGTAATATTGGGCTTTGTGGCTCAGGTGGGCTTACCCTGAAAGGGCTGTTGGGAACACTGACACCTCCCCAGGTCACCACCACCGTATGTTTGATGGCTGAGGTGGGGGTGTAGGAGCAGGCGTAGATGTTTTCTCCTTTATTTCGCACTTTCACGTCTATGGGCTCGCCTTCAGAGTTCTAACACATTTAAAACAAGACACAGGTGAATGAAGAAAGGTGATGCTTTCAGAAAGTGGCCCTAGGGTTCAATCCAAACATGACAAATTCACATGGAATACAAAATAAAGGTTTTCAGAAATAAAGGGCCAATCTACACCCTATTTGCACCAAAATAATCAATTTATCTGACCTACTAAATATTAGTTAGTACCACCATCAAAAGAACCGTAAATACTGATATATCTTGCATATGTAAACAATTTTAGCCAACATATCTTTCTGATTCACATCCCAAATGTTTGTACCTCTGTAAAACAACTGTAGTACACTGTTTACATACATAAGAAAATGTCTCCATACAAACACAGTCCAAATTTATGCTTCCAGAAGACCTCAAATCCTACATAACTCTGATGAGACCACAAAATACAGCATTTGGAACTGATTGACTGGAGATTCTGAGAAAAGGGATTTTAACGAATCACCTAGACTTAACTTAAACATGGTGGCAAATAACAGTCTGGCAGGGGATTTTCAAAATGGTTTTAAAAGGATTCCAACAGACCATATTTTTGGGAATGTTAGCAGTTAAAGGGCTTATGAGGATAATTCTGTGGCTTAGAGAGCGAAGCCCAGACAAGGAAACTCACCTTAAATGGACTTAAATGGACTCACCTGCGCAATGATTTTCAGAGGACCTTTTCCTGCATCCTTGGCTTCGACTGTGAACTCAGCAGGCTTATTGATAATGCAACCGCTCTTCTCTAAACCTGGTCCGTAGGCTTTCACCTGAACCAGATACACGTTTTATTTTACAGACCATATTTAAAGCAATGGTTTGGCCACATATCAAATGCCAATGTAAGCACATATTAGGGTTAAGAAGAAAATGCTCTAAATTTGATTTTCTTCAGGCTTGAGTGCCACTGAGGGGGTTGTACCTGGTTGGGGTTGCTGGATTTGTTGTCTGGGATAATGTAGGCCATGAAGGGACTGTCTTCAATGTCTTCGTCATCACACATCACATGGACGGCATACTCTCCAGGCTCTGTTGGCCAATACTTCACATCACAGGAGCCATCATTCTGATCCTCACACTCGATCCGGGCCTGGGACGGGCCCTCAATGGCGAAGCCTGCAAGAGGCACGAAATGCAAAAAGGCATATTTTAGGTGTTACATTCAAGTCAGGAGAGCCAGCAGCTTGCGTAATTGTTTGTGTAATGGTGATGTCATTTCATTCAATATACAAACCACTGTTTCTTAGGGTCATTCAAGAGGCAGACAATTAAACGTCTCTTCTTTCAAACTGTCAAAAGCATGTGTGGTAATAAGGGCCATGAGAGTCTTGGTCTGACAATCTTTGATAAACTATTGCTGACAAGCTTTGATAGACTTCCAACACTAATCCACTCAGATCCCACATCTGTGAGCCAAATCACTGACTACAGTTTCTTCTAAAGTCTCTAAACATAATTCTCATGTGTTCACAATTGTACTATTCGCTCTGCCCTTTTCAGTCTTGGTTCCTCTCAGCGGTTTTTCCTCATGTTCTTAGGGAGTTTCTCTTTTTGGGTTTTGGTTCTTTGCAATGTTTCTTCCTTGCACTCTTGCAGAGTTTCTCCTCTTGAGTCCTGGTTGCTATCAGTGGTTCTTCCTTGGTCTTAGGTACTTTTTCCTGACACTGTCTTCCTCAGTGATGCTCAGTAGCTGGCTGTACCCACAGCTCTTGAAAGCTACTTTTTGAAAGCATTACATTCACAAATGAACTAAACTGAACTCACCGAGCACTCCCACGTCTGAGCCAACAGATTCAGCCACGAAGTCGGCAGACTTGCCCACGATGCCACCCTCCAAACCTGGGCCCCATGCTCGGATCGTCTGCAGTCCTGCTTCAGGGCCAACCAGAACCTCAAAGGGACTGACCACAAAGAGTCCAGAGTCAAATATCTCACAGATATACAAGACTCGAGACCATAACTAGAAGAGATTAAACACAATAATCATGATAACTGTATTAAACAAAAATGAACTAAACAATTAGACATCACTACCAACTGTAATTTCAATATCAGCTGATAATCATATTTTAACAAATTTACCAGTTAATTATATCCACCTCTGATATGTCAGTACACCCACTGTATATGTGCAAAGAAGCGTGAATCTGACCAAGTCAATGGTGCTAGGTTACTGACAGTAAGGCTATTTGAGAAGCACATATGATACCACTGCATCATCAAATGTTTTGCAGAAGCATAGAAGTGCATGATGATGAATGTTTAACAGAGCAATGAAGACTCAAGTACAGCCGCGTACGTGGGCGAGAGGGTGAGCTTGTTCCAGGTGGACAGTGGGTGATTGTGTGAATACAGCCCCCCTCTCTCTTTCTGTCAGTGAAGCATTTCAACGTATTCCTGTGCAGCAGCAGTTAAAGCCCCAGGCGCTGGCCTGCGAGTGCAGCCATGCATGAGGTCACCAGACACCAGATCAGGGCAATAACAGAGCCCCTGGATCTGTGCGTAAATAATAGGCTAATGCCTTAAGCTGCACACATACTCCAAGTCCCATCACTAATTTTCATTCTGATGAAGAAATGGAATATCTTATCAATGGAATAACTATCAAATTAAATGGAATAACTATCAAATTAAAAACACAATAAAATATACCCTCTTCTACATGAGAACATGAGGTACAGATAAAAAGTTCAGAACGTGCATTTTCAACAGAGTTTCACCACCAGAATTAATATAAAAAAGACATTTACAATTACAACCAAAATTTAAAAGATTCAGACGCAGTCTGAGAGCATCGGCGGACCATTGTAGGACGCTATCTGTGTGGCATGTCCTGCACCACTGATCCTAATCGACTCCTGTCAGCACAGTTTTGGCCAAATGAGCACGTTTAATCGGCATCACCCGTGAGAGAGCTGGGAACCAGCTAATGAGAAAAGAAACAAAAGACAGCAAAGCAAGCAAACAGCACTATATAAAGAAGCCACAGAGAGAGTATCCCCATTTTTCATTGCCAGTGCAACAAGAACCATTTGAATAATTTTACCAATAGTAAATATATAATTTTGTTAAGAATAAAACACAAGCTCTCAAACTTTTTGACGTGTTAATACTGTTGCTGTCAGAATAAAATCTTTTTTTAAACATAATCTACTGCTGTCAGCTACTTTTTCCATTGTGGTAAAGTTTCATGAGGAATGGACCAAAAGAAATGATCAAAAATGACTCAAATCTTGTTACACTGACTGATGAAAGTTATGAAAGTTTTTTTCTTTCTCCTGTATTTTTTTGGGGGGAGATATAAGGCTTTGCTCTGACAGTGACCATATGAGCACGCACCAACTGTGTATTAATTGTCAGTTTAATGTACATTGACTTTTAAGTAGACTGTTTTATGTATACAGTGCCATCAGTGGTTTCCTACACGTTCACATTCGAGGTTTGTCTTACATACAGACATTTGAAGTTTGTAAGACAATTCACTAAGATGTTCTTTATCTTATATTACAGGTCTACAGTTAGCAGCTCCTGCTACAGAGTCTTTGTCTTTCATACAGGCTCATTCAGTACGTCTCAGCGTCAGCTGCAGTCTTTGCAATGTGATTGAGGGCAAATTTTCAGGAGGAGACCACAGGCAAAAGCAAGCTAACAGAAAGCGACCACCAGTCGCCCTCATTTGATGCTAGTTCTTCCTCGTCAGGTTGGTCTGCCTGGGCCCTAAGGGTTAAGATTTTTGTTACGGGGCAAAACAACTCAAACATGAGTATACGTCACCACACACCTTATTTCTCACACTAAAAGACACTACAGTTGATGGGAAAACAAAAATAATAAACTTTAAATAGAGAACAAGAACTTCCATGCTGTAAAATTAAACCATATGCCCCTGATGGTTCACATTTATTAGGCCTGGTCACCAGTGCCATAGGAAACAGACAAGCGAACACACGCAGGGCTTTGTATGAGGTAGTTCTGTGTGGCACTGTTTCTCCAGACTCCCCCAAGACCCTGACCCAGACAAACATACGTAAGCTTGCGTGCACAAGCACGTACACCCGCACGCAAGAATAGATGATGTAATGCCATTCCCCTTCTCTGCTACAGCCACCAGCAACAGAGTGCTAAAAAAAACGGCGATTTGGATCTACACAGCCACTGTTTCCCCATACGCCTGAAACAAACCTGGGGGGCACCATGGGGGTGGGAGCTCCATATTTTTTAGATGTAAATCACCTCCTGGACTTGGCTAAAGTGAAGGTTTAAGAGCAGAAATGACTGCAGGAAAACAGTAATGCATGCTCTGCATCAGCGACACTTTGTGCCCTTGTTTATTCATAAAAATATAAAATATTTAATCTTAAGAATTTGTTAATATGCTGTTGTATATTATGCTTTTTTGGTTCAGACTGTAAATATTTTCTGATGACAGGCCAATACCTCAGACAGTGTCACTCTCTACTTGACTGAATGACCACAAAACAGGTTGATTTGGTAATTGTGAAGACCAAACAACTTCATGGTATTACAAACGCATAAAATGCATCTAAATCTCACCTTCCGCCTGAGAATAACATCTAATATCACACAAATAATTCATGAACAGAACTAATGAACAATAAGAAGTGAAACCAAAAGCGCAAAGCATTCTTGGAGGCTCTGCCCTAGGGCTACAATACATTATTTAACATTTGTTTCTGTTGTCTAAATTTAGGTGTGGCAACTGGAAACTGATACCAGTCAGTAAAGCACTGTTTAACTACTATTTTTTTATAACAATACTGACACTATAAATATATGTATAAAATTATAATCAGCTTACATCAGTTTAAAGCCCCCCAAAACCAGCATCAGCCACAAATATTTCATTTTGGTTAGGTCCTACCTTACACTAAAATATTCATAAGCTCATGTGCATCTTTAACATAAGCTTTATTTTGTATCAAACAATATATTATGTAAGTATGCGTTGTGTATTTATCTTAGCTAGTAAACAGAAGATTGACAGAACTTCTATTTCAGGTAGAATCCGTACTTAAAAAAAAATGTTTTTTTTTATTTTAAAAATTCAGACTGTAGAACAACTTTAACATGTCTCCATATCAAAGCAGTCTACATTTGTACTGCTGTCAGACTTCAAATCCTACAATGCACAGTATTTCGACCTGACTGATTGGAGATTCTGAGAAAAGGGATTCCACAAATCACCTAGACTTAAATGAAACACTGATTTCTTCGATTTGGTTTTAGGATTTCAAAGGTAGCTTATTCTTCAGGTACGTCACCAATTAAAGGGCTTATAAGGATGATCCTGTAGCTCAGAAAGCAGAGCCCAGGACAAGCAAACTCACCTCTTGGGTATGTGTTGGCCGCCCCACGTGATGGTGACTGTGTACTTGCCCTGTCCATTAGGGTAGTACTCATAAGCATACACACCATCCATCGCTTCTTTCAGCTTCACTGGCTCATCAAGCCCTTCTACAAGAGAGAAAACTGTCTGTGAAACACTGTCTGTGAAACACTGTGAGGCACCTAAGCATCTCAAGTTAGTCAAGGGAAAAAAGTGAAATCGGCCAGAAACTCCCCAAACCTTTCACTTCAAATGACACAGACGCTCTGCAGTAACAACACACCATCTCACTTTAATGTGATTCAGCAACTAAACTGCTGCTGGCTGAGCTAAGGGTCATGAGTAGATTGTGTTAGTGGCTGTGATGGGACGATATGCTCAAAATGGGCTGTTTTTGCAGCTTCAACCTACTGACCGTATGGACTGGGGAGTGAAAAGCAAGTCTTGACAAATGTTTACATAGTACAAGGGTCACCAAACTGCAAAGGATCAGAGTGGATGCACATTTTTGGTACAAAAAGGAGCACACCTACTTAAACTAATCAGGTGGCTGAAGACTAACAACAATTTATTACACAACTAGAAGTAGGGATGCCTCTGCTTGATTAGGATGAAAGCGTGCAGCCACACTGGCCCTTTGTGGATAAGACTGACCCCTCAGATAGTATATTACAATCTTAGCTTGTCCAATATATATCCCTTTAAACATTAGGTTATGACCAAGCAACTCTGGACCTCAGCAGTGAGTCCACACAATACACCCACTCTGACATACAGTACATCATAATTACACCAAGAAAAGTCATAATTTTGGAGCAAATCGCTTAAAATATAGTGGCCTTTCTACCCGCTGCCAGGGTCCACCACACAGAGAGCCTATTAATCACAATCAGAAGGGCCTGGAATGAAGCCTGCTGACTCAGCTAGAAGAATGCCATCTGGGCACCAGAGCCTGGTGGTGCCTGGGGAACCTCCACCTCAGCTTGTTTTGCTGCGGGAGCGGCACCACCAAGCTCTCTGCTCCACTTTCTGAGCCACATTGGTGTTTGGCTAAAATTGTGAGTCTCAATAAAAAAGCCCTAAAACCTTAAAAATGTCCAAATGCAGTCAAATACTTTGAGAGCCTAGCTGAGCTCCAAGAGCTGGTACGAACAGTTTTAGTCTGACAGAGTAATGTTAGCCTTAAAAAAAGCAAAGTACATCACACAGCTAAAGCCTGCATTTGTCAATAATTTTGCTCTTTTTCTTTAAATAAGTGTGTCAGTGTCAGAAACCACATTAGCAAGATAATTTTAAGATAAAGCATATAAGCTTATATGACATTAGCCTACATTAGCCTTAAAATTCCAGCAGGAAAAAAATATCTACATTTTTACATAAGAGAAAACAAAGCTGACAACTTCTCAAACTACTCCTTGAAAAAGACTAAAGATGAGGGGTTGAAGGTGAAAAAGAGAACAGGAGAAAATAGAAATGGGACTGAACTTAGAGAGGTACGAGTTACTTACTGGGACCCTTGACTGTGACCTTCAGCTCACCGCTTCCTGCATTTCGGGTGTCCACTTTGAAGTCGGCAACCTGACGGACCCTCACTCCTCTGGGCTGCAGGCCTCTCCCTGTAGCTCGGCAGGCACCAGGTGTGGATGCTGAAACACATACGTAACATGGACATCGTTCTTTTTACTTCAACACTAATATATAGGTTCAGAGGTTCAATAACAAGCCCATCAATACAATGCCAGTAATATGGATGATTCCAGTGTGTATTATTCGTTACAATTTGTCCTACTGTACATTTTTTCCCCTCAAAAGTCACTGGATCCTCCTATTACAAGGTTGTTTAGAAGTGAAAATATGATAATGCTATATATGTTCTATAAAGAGTTTACATTCTTATACCTGGCAAATTAATCTTAACAGAGATAGAGAGATGGGTGATCTGTAGAGTGAACATCTGTAGAATTTAGTAAAAACAGGGAGCCACTGCCGCCCCAATCCTTCCCCCACAGTTTCCTCTTTCCTTTCATTTCTGTCATTGTTGTCTTTAAAAGAAAGGGTTGCACTTTCATCTCAATGACAGATCACTTTTAAACTGCACTTTTAAACATACAATTAAAGCGAACTGCAAATAATTAGCTGCACCCAGCACTTGCTGTATCAGGGATCACACTGCACAGCACACAGTGAAACAAACTTTTCTGAGAGTCTAAAAACCTGTGATATCTACATTCATGGCCATGACACTGCACCACAGGCAAATATACATGACTACTACGTGTAAATCGTGACACTTAACATTTATGCACTCTAATGACAGAGTATAAAAGCTATTAAACTTCAACACGATTACACAACATCAGCTACTCATATACATGCACTCACAAATACCAGATACAAAAACTATTAACTAATCTTTAATGTCGTAAGAGCTTCACAGGGCTTATCCATCCACAAGCTCATGTCAAAGCCACATGCAGGGTAATAGGCCTCTGGGATGAGAAGAGTTCCTCTGCTATGAGGTAGTCTCTCCCACAGCTCTCTCATTAAACCAGAAGAAGAGATGCCAAGGCCGCAGGCAGGGTGGAGCTGGACCCAGCAATGTCCAACTGCCATCTGCCTTTCAGCAGACAGGACTCCATCCACTCTGAGCCCACAAACTGCTACAGAACACTTCATCAAAGACAAACACAGAGACTTAAATATACCCTCAACATTTGGCTGAATAACATGAAAACAGAAGAGACACAAATCTTTTGGGCACGCTCCAGAGGAGGTAATATAGGCTGCTGATGCTTAGATATATTGACATATACCGCCACGTCTCTTGCTTGCTACTGGACTACTGTTTGCATGTAGTGCAAGCGTTCGAATCAGCCTGTGAGATTTCCAGAAATAAGCTTAGTTCCAGTGAGGCAAAAGGAATGAGACCCAAAGGACTAGTTTACATGTTTAAACAGACACTTTCTTATTTTATTTCACACTGCATTACCGCTTCATTCATTAGCTTGCACATTTTGGTTCTTGAGGTAATATTTACCAAACCATGCCCACCATATTTCCTCAAAAAAATAATAGATAAATAAATAAATAAAACACATCCAAAGGAATGTGGAGGAGGGGAATGATTAAACCCGTTCTGTGGGAGTGCTAAAACTAAACCACAGCACATCCTTTAAATATTCATGGCTATTTGTTACAGTTCTTGAAGCAATTTAGCAAAATGATCAGCTTTTAGATAGTGGGGCAAAGTCACTGCAGCAGCTGTGCATCTAAACACACACAGTTGTGTATGTAAAACAGGAACATCAGGTCTTGAGAATCAAGAAAAAACTGAACTTTGTAAAAACTGTGTCCCCTGGCTATATGTGCTGACTTCATCTTGAGGTCAGGAGCTTGCAGGCCAGATGTGATGTGGGTAGACAAGTAATGGGAATAATCTCTTAGTCCAATTCAGCAGATTCAACAATGAGTCCACTGTTTGGTTATGAACAGCAAGTTAAAACTGGTTGTAAAAATTGGCTTGTTAATCACCAGTCTGATAATGCAGTACTTTTTTATTAAGGAAAATCAGTTAAATTAGGTTTCATTTAGGGCTGAATTGCTTCATGGTACCTGATTTGGAAAAGCTACCTCAGAGAGAAGGAATTTAGTGTTTTACAAGCCCTCAAGTCAGTTTGCCAGGACTTGAGTTTATCGGACAATATAACCAGCCTCTATGGTGGAGTGACTTGTCTTACACATGCACATAGCCCTCTGACATGCCTTTAGCAATGCTGAAAGTGCTAAAGAAATCTACTGATGTGATACTCAGAAACATTTCTATTTTGATTAAATCCTACAATAAATGAGAAAAGAATAAAATAAGGAAAACTTCTAAAAGCTGTGCGCCGAGTTGCATGAACATAAACAACTTTCATCAATCTACGAATGCTAAAAAGATGACGTGAACATGAAGGTCGAATTCAAACCAAACTGTACATATTCGGTCCTGACGATAAACAGGCTAGCTGGCTGACCGCAGTGATTTTATAGCCGCTGTAAAGGGCTTGCCACAACCATGAGATGTGCAGTCAAATTACTACATTTACCTGCAGCTCAATCACAGCATATTAAACCATAGAAGACTCGAAATTTTACTTCAATTTCAAACCTGTTGTGTAATTTCTTCCGAATGGAACTCCCGTTGAGTTTCCCGATGGGCAACATCTATACTTTTCATCTAGTTCATTTGCAGGATGGCCAGAAAGACAACAATCAGAAGAGAAACTGACAGCACTAGAGTTCTGCAGGTAGTATAATTAACAGATTCTATTCTTTACTACTTTGCAATGCTGTATACAGAGTTTTCTGTATTTATCTATTTATTCATGCCAATGTGGATAAAGTTGCTGCTTAATGCCCAAAGACAGCAGTAGCTTTGAAAGGCCAGTAAATCTTGTAAGGCTTCAAAAGCTTCTACACTCATCTTGCAGTTTAGCACACTTTTGGTAGGACAAATATATGAACATCAGCCATCGTGAGTTAACTGTAATATCATAACCATGATATGATATATCAAATTGCAACGCATGTATCATGATCAGGTTGGCCATTTCCAGCCCTATAAAGCACAGCTGTTGAGACCTTTGGATGGGGTACCTGGGCCGACGTTGACAGTGTAGGGGCTCTTGGGGATCGCAATGCCTCCAAATGTGATGTTGACTGTATGGGGACCAGCCTGAACAGGTTTGTAGGTGCAGCGGAAGACGCTGTCTCCCTTGTCCTCCATAATGGCTTCCACTGTGTTCTTATTGCCCTGTGGGTCCTTAATCACTGCAGTCACATCACCCACTCCAGCTCCTGTTAAACACACATATTTAAGAGTTTAGGCAGGGATGAATTATGGTCCGTTCTGGTAACAGAGGAACTTGGAGGAACTCACTGTACACAAGCTCTGTTTCATCCTTCATGTAAACGCAGTCATTAAAGTAAGCTTTTAATCACTTGTGAAATATTGCCAAGAAACTTGTACATGCATTTGTTAAACAGAATTAATGACTGCAGTGCTCTTCAGGCATTCTAAGAAAACTTATACAAAATGCAGCAGCATCGATCCTAACAAAAACAACAGAGTGTATATCACTTCTATTTTGTAAGAACTGCACTGTTTACCTGTTAATATTAGGATGGATTTTGAAGTTTATTTTGTACTTGTTTTAAAGCTCTATTTGGCTTTAGAGCATCTGTGGACCTCACAGAATGTCTATGTTACAACACGTGACCTTAGATCTACAAACACCGGCCTTCTGCAAAAACCTCTTTCTGTTATGCTTCTGAACTCAATTCCAAGTTAAGCCTGGTACACATTAGCCATTCTCTGTAATATAGATTTTAATTAAATTATACCTTTTTCAACTTATTTTCCTGAATATATCTATTATTATTATTTATTTTTTTTTTTGCTGTTACTAGCCAGTCTTCTGCAGCCCTGCATAACATAGCTTTATTGTTTATTTATTTATTTATTTCTTTTTGACCACAGACCTGCTGTGTAGATGTCGAAGTACGTGGGTTTGCTGGCAATGTTGCCCAGGGGCTCCAGGCCAGGGCCTTTGGCGGTGACCTTGGTGGGGTCTCCCTGAGCCTTGTCAACATTCACCTCGAAGGGGCTCTTTGGAATTTGCTGGCCAGCAAACAGCACAGTCACCTGTGTGGAGGACAAAAAAGCTATGCATCAAATTTAGGCCATTTTGTAAACATCTAAATAAACATAAGACACAGAGCAGGGAGGAAAAACTAAACGGAAAGCCTGCCCAATACAAGGAGAGCCGAGGAGTATCACTATATCCCTTTTTGACCGGGCTTGACTTTAGGCAGTTTACTGTGAAATCCTGCTTTGTGAAATCCACCCCCCCCCCTCAAGTTCTGGATTTTCAAAAATGTACCTTGTGAGGTCCCATGACTTGAGGAATGTATGTCACACTGTAGGTCTTTTTGCCTTCATTTGGCACAGCCTTCACTTCCTCTCTTCTGCCCTCTGGGTCCTCAATGTAGACAGTGACGTGCCCCTGTCCTGCACTGAACGTGTCCACTGTGAACACAGCTGGACGCATCACTCTGTTGCCCACTGGCTCAATGCCTGTCAACATGCAAACAGATATGAGACACAAAGTCCTAGATAATGACCAGACATATTCCCCTCACAGCAATAAACCAGACCAAACATGACACACCCAGAATGTGAAGTGAGCTGGAGGTGTGGGACTCATTCATGGCCCAAACAAAACCAGGCCATAAATCAGAACTTACAGCTCTCTAGGCTAAAAATGAAGGTCAATCGAGACAAAGCGTTTGTGATACGGCAAATATACTTTAAGATATCTGTACTATAAAGTGTATCTCAATATAAAGCCTTTTTGAGATTTGATAAGTTGAAATAGAAGAAAAAAATAGCTTCATTTTAAAAAAATAAGTAAGTACTGACTATATACAATATATGCACAGAAAAGCATACTGTGACACTGTATGCCATCACTTGTGATAATGGTAACTACATTCTTATTACCCATAATAATAACGTGGTCCATAAGGTAATTAAACCTTACGGACCACATTATGGAACAAAGTCATTGTTGTGGGTAATGAGCAAGGATTTCCTTGAATTGTGTTACTCAGGGTCTTTCCATGTTCCTCCTTAAAGGATTATTAAAAATCATAGTTTCTTGTGAGAAAATACATAAACGTTTACAGTTATAAGGACTGAACAAATCATTTGTGTCCCCTCACAAGGGTCATAAAATATCTCCCAAATTAAACAGTAATATGGGTGTGAATTTACAGTAGGGAATATGCAGAACAGTATTAAGAGAAGTTAATGAACATAATTCAAACATCAACATAAAAATCTGCAGTCAAAGCTTGTGGTTTAACCACACATATGACTCTTAAATTAGCTATGAATTATTTTGATCATAAGCCAAGTTCTCCATAACTCAAGCAAAATGCACAAGGTTTCTCTGCAGATTCAACTTCGTTTGCATGGGAGTGGAAAACCACACAACACACTATTATGACATTCCCACAGGCTAATGCAGCAGGGCAACTTTGGTCTTCGTTTATCCGTTACATCAGCATGTCAAACAGGCCTCACTTACCGGCATAATTAATAGTGTTTTGCAGTAAGCTGGACCAAGGCCAAAAACCAAAGTACTCAGCACAGGGGCTTAGTTAAAAGAATTTCAGGAGTTTGAGCCTCTTACGATTTCAGTAGTCTGTGTAAAATGAGTGAGTTCTTAGCCAATAACATGCATCTTACTGCACAGACTGTTCAACAAAGATAAACACTATTGGAGAACATTACCGAAAACCTCTGTCTAAAATCTCTACATGATTTACGAAGTCTAAACTTGTCATTTTTAATGAACCTCTAAAACCGGTGCCCTTTTAAAAACAGATTGCACAATGAAGTAACATTAAAGTGAGTAACGTTCGTTTTCTGCCGCAAATTAGTCTGAATTACTACTCTGCAGAGACGGCTCCCAGGCTGTTCAAAAACATTCAGGCCCTTTCCAGAACTGACCACTTCTCAGAGTTCAGTGAAGCTAGTCATTCTGCCATGGCAAAATTAAAGGGGGGTCGTTATGGCACGGCTGCTCTGTGAATCAAGCTGCCAAAACGGGCGACAACTTCGAAACTCATTAGCTACCGGGTTTTGCAGGCCTGACAAAAATTTACAACAGGTAAGAGGTACATTTGCAGACCGTCTATCAACCATGTTCGAAGTCCTACAGAGCCTCGCCATATTTACACTGCAATATATTACAGTGGAGAAGCTGACAGGTCCAAGTACAACATGGAGGGAAAACCATTAAGAAGCTCCATAGTGGTCAGAAGTTAATCTCCTCTGCTGTTTCAACAGAAATCCCTTTATACTGGATGGATGAGCAACCCATCTAGATGCATACTAAAGGTAAGTGAAAATGAAAATCCTATATAAATAATGCCACTGAGACATTTAAAACATTCTTATAGACCCTTTAGTAGGTATGGTTAAAAGGTTTATGCCGTACAAAGAAGGGCACTGCTAGCATTGCATAGAGTTAACAGACAAAGCTCTTAATAATGTTCATGAGTCTCTCTGTTAAAAGCATTAACAATTGGCATTCATTATTATGAATGATAACTACTTAGTAAGATGAGTAACATGAATAAACACACAAACATGCTAAATGATTTACATGCATCAAAACTATACACAACGGATGCAACGTGTTTTTGGAATTTTGCCATGTGTGGGGCAGGCAAAATATCCATCAAAAAGTTGTTTTACAATATTGTGCAGGACGCTTCCCACTTTGGAAAATGAAAGAAGAACAGAGAGCTTCTCTGCCTCATTCAGAAACTACAACTTGAGTGCTTTTACTTGTTCCACATGTAACAAACCACAAACAGGCAGAATCTCTGCAAGTGCAAGTAAGATATCTTTCACTTTGTAACTACTTAGTTCATTTTTTTACAAAAGTGAAAGTAGCATGAAGAGCTCAATCAGAAGCTAAAACTTTCACATCTAAGTCCACATCTATGACAGGTTGCTGGAACACAGTGGATCCACTATCTTGGTTATAGCCATGGCATCGCAATTGGTGTTCAGGACATCTGTGAAAGTTTGCAAAAATCGAATAGACGGCAACTAACACAAAGGTCATATTTTTGCTGTCTGAAAAAAGACACTATGTGCACAACATGCTCAGTTTTACATGGAATCAAATTAATTTACTGTCCTCCAAATAAACTGCACGAATGAAATATGCTTGTGTGTAAAGGCCTAAACAATGTACCTTTTCTAAAACACTGCAAACCACAAGGTCTAAAGTACAGGTGCAAAAGGCAATTACTTACACCAAATTGGTCTCGTTGTGAATTATTCACAAGACTATGATAACAAAACAAAACAAATGAAGCTGGCTGAAAAGCAATGTTGACAAGCTGCCTGTTAGAACCACTGGTGTTAGAAGATGAACGGAAAAAGTACATGTTCCAAAACAGAAAACTTTGATGTACATAATAACACAATGATTCATGGAAAATAGTCTGCAGGCTGCCGACAACAGTTTGTCCTACCTGGGCCATAAGCACGGGCCTTTTTAGGGTTGAGTTTGGGTTTGAGGGGGGCTCCAGGTTTGAGTTTGGCCTTGGGGAACTGCGACAGGTATGTCATGACAGACTGCTCATCGACTTTAGGGTCAATGATTTCTTCGGGAGCAATCACCTGGAGACACACAAAGTGGGTAAAATCCATCATTAGCACAGTTAGTAAACTGAATTTCCTTGAATTGTACATTTATTATATGACTATATTAAAAAACTCTTCCATGTGCTGCAAAAAAATGAATAAATAAATAAAAACCCTGCAAAATACATACATACATACATACATACATACATACATACATACATAGCGGATGAGGGGCAACACAACCAAATATTAAGGTAAACAACTTTGTGCAAATATCGCTGTTAAGGAATAGGTCAAAGTCCGATCAAAGGGGTGTATCCATGGTTACTGTGTCCCGCACACCGTCCTGTTTGCAAAGGTGTGATTTAGGTGTGGACATGTAGTAATTTAATTTGACCGCCTCCTCTTAAGCAAATACAACTCTCAATCCAATATGAACATGCTGTGCAAACACTGTGCACTAAGCACAAATGAGAAACACATTAACTCGTCATCTTGTACATAGACAAGGTCCCACCTTGGCTGAGGACGAAGTTCACTTCACATAATTCATATAGACAGGCATTTAACTACGCAAGGACCTTATAGTACATAAATTAGGTTTAGTCTCCTTCACAACTTAACAAAAATTAGTCCTTAAATTCTTCTAAAGTCTTCTTATAACTAAAAGGCAGTTATATTGTTGATTTGTCATTCTGATATTTGACTTTTCAACACTAATATTGAGCCCTCTAACCTATTATTGTTTTACCAGTGTGCTGTGAGCACCCTAACCAATCACAGCTCCGAATGAGGGTTTCTGTGGAGTATTTATTTTATCAAGTCAATGTAATCCAATAAAAGTAAATCATCTGTCAAAATAATGCTGACTGATCTTTAACGGTGATCTTTAATCACTGAATCACCAATGTGTTTCCAATACACAGCAAGGCATATCGCAATCACAACATAACCGCAGCACCAGTGTTTTGCGCAATCCCATTATAAAGTTTAAAATGCGTTTCTCACCTGTGGGATTCCAAGCCAGTCATCAGCCAGCTGCATGGCTTCTGTAGCATTTTCCACCGGCTTTTCTGTGTCCCATGTCTCCCAGTCAGGACACAATCCTAAAAACACACACATGTGCACAGTTAGCCACACTTACTAAATTGTCACCAAACATTAAACTTACATTATCACAGTTTTCATATGCAAATATTACTAATATATCACTGCATATCAAGGCCTTAAAACTGAATTTGTTTCTTTTATTTATTTTTTTTTTTAAACACCCCCGAAAAACAGCTGCACTTCAGATTGCATAATCAATTTCATAACAAACAGGCAAATAAAAGTGTTCCATTTATCAGGAAATGTCCAAAATAGATAAATAAACAGCCCAGTAATGATCAAAATAAAAACCATGTTGTATGAATGTACATGGTTTTTATTCCAATTTAATTAGTACAAGTCAGGCACATTTTTCCTTCTCCTATAAAGCAACCATTTCAGAGATTTTCTGAGGTTTTGTTACATCATAATTTGCGCAGTTTTGTTTTTGCCGCTGTTACTTTAATATCCTTTAAGATTAATAAATTATCTCTTTGTACATCTAGCTATTTCAAGTTCAGAACACATTGCCACAACACTTTCTTTACACAAGCAACATGGAGAGGGAAAAAAAACAAAACAAAAACAAAACAAAAAAAAAATAAACCCACACACTGACCTGGTGCACAGCTGTCCACCAAGGCTCCCAGCGCCCTGCCATCCTTCCAGTCCTCGCTGAAGTTATTGATGGGCAGGTCAGGAACTTTGTTCTGGATCCAGCCCAGCAGCCTCTGCTTGGGGGTTGCCTTTTTGGCTTCTTCATCGTCCTCATCCTCCCACACAGGCATGGAGATGGAGTAGTGCAGGATAAGTGTCCATACCAGACCCAGGATCAGCTTCAGGTTTCCATCCACAATGGCTTTACTGTCTGGACAAAGCAGAACGAAGTAGACGTAAGTAGGATGCTTGCAATTATAAAGGAAAAATAAAAATGTAAACTACATTTTCATTTGCACCACCACAATATCAATGGCATTACAGTGTAAGTATGGAAACAGAACAGTAAAAAGAAAATCTCCTTATAAGATGATATGCAAGTTTGCATTAAAGGGAAAGTGCACCGATTCTTTAGAAATATCTTGATCAAATGCTTAAGATGCAAACATAGTCATTGTGTCAGTGTTTGTGCATTTTGACTAATTTGACATTCAAGGGAAGTGAGAAAAACAGGCTACACAAACAATGTAAACCAATGCACTACTGCTAACACAATTAAATAAATACATAAATAAAACAGTACCATGAGTAAAAGTCACTGTAGATGAGTAACAGGGGGACGCCTTGAATGAGCTAATGAAACAACACTAACACTAGAGCTAAACAGCGACGCGGTAGAAGACCCGTCGCCTTCCACACAAACTTGACCACATGTTTGGTAAATTAATAACTGAAGAGAGAAATACATTTTTTATTAATACATAATTTTTTTATTGTTTCTGGTTCTAGCTAATGCCAGCTAAAATAGATAGTAGCCTAGTTAAAGTGGCTTAATCTCTGCTTTCTTAATCTTAAGTTAAGGAAACTTGCATTTTATATCAAAGTATAATATACTTAATATTAAATATGAACAAAACTGTTGTACTTCACAGCCCTGTTAAAACTTTCACTGAACTGCTCGCATGTATATTTTTCCCCCCCTCACGTTTTTCCCTGAAGTCAGGAGTGCAACTACCAAGATACAGCTTACTGAGTACTCTAGTGCATGTGCGCATAACAAAACTTCACACAGCACAGAGAACGCTACCCTGACGGGCAACGGACGGTTTAGTTTTAATCTATTTTTAGATGTTCTTTCAAAACAAATCTGAAGCACCCAGCAAATGGCATACAGTTTTATTAAGTATTTTTGCTGTCTGATATGAACTAAATGTGAAATTACGCATATTTTATCTGAACATGACTGGTCAATGTGACCTTTCCTAAGAACCAAATTCAGCATTAGACTATTCTGTACCAGTCAGAGTAGTGAAACAACACTGAACATGATTCACTAAAACCAAGGCACGCTAAGAGGAGGTGAAGGCCAAACCGATTAGGCTTTCCAAATCATTCTGAAATAAACTCACTGACACGTTCTAAAAAATACATCTGGTCAGGAGGTCAAACGTTTCAGTGATAGTTAGTAGTCACTGGAAACCAGATGTTATTGGAAAACAAAGGAAATGCCCATTCAGTAGTTATCATATTTCTAGGAAAGAGTTTATTGCACTCGAAAAAGTTCCTGCTAAACAGAAGTATTCGAGGAGAAAGTACAGCTGCTAGCAATCCTTAACATTCTGGACACGTCACTGTCGAGCGTTTCCAGAACAACAGAGGCGCGAGAGCACGCTCTAAACGTTTTATCCATGGACATACTGGCTATTCTTCTCTACTGAATAATGGCTCTGGCCTTTTCCCCTCGGCCTTGCGAAAGCTCCACTGCAGTTAAAGCAGCCACTCCTTTAAGCCCCACCCAGTCCACTGCTATGGTTCACTAACAAGACTGCACACATGACAGTCAGAATACGAGTGCATTACTCCTTTGTTTAGCACTATCAGCCATCTCTCACAAACATCCTCTTAGTGGGTGCTAAACAATAAGGAGTGGAGCTGAACTTTAGCCCACAGCAGAGGAGAGGTAGAACATGTAGTTGTGTGGACTGATGTGGGACAGTAGCCATTTCTTTGTATCAGTCCAAAGTGTCCAGCAGGAACTACAATATCCACACTTAAGACTACACTGGAAAGGCCTATTAAAAGAGCTTGGAGAATTCAAATCAGATTATTTTACTTTCTCTGATTGGAAATGTTTATTTAAGTGAGCTATCAGCAGGTCAGCCTGATTGATCAGTTGCCGAGTGTGAGTACTCTGATATACAGAGTAGTTGGAATGGGCGAAATGGAAAAATATCACAATACTTACATTAAGACATTTTCACAATACACATAACATGTCATAACATTTAGTTTTTCTGAGGTTTGATAAGTTGGAACTGAAGCAAACTTTGTACTGCTACAATAAAAATATATATTTTCAACGTTTGAGCACAAAGATCTTCAGAATCAACATTAACCAATTAAACAGGACTACTTTTGCTCTCTTTGAAACGAAACAAGAGGTTGGTAAGTGTTCTGTTCTTTAAGTGCTTATAATATCCACTTTATGCTCAAAAAGTATATTGTGATGTAACATACACCAATCAGGCATACCATTATGACCATCTCCTTGTTTCTACGCTCATTATCCATTTTATCAGCTTCGCTAAACACCTCAGTGTCGCTGCTGGACTGAGAGTCGTTCACCAACCAAAAATATCCAGCCAACAGCGTCCTGTGGGCAGCGTCCTGTGACCACTGATGAAGGACTAGAGGATGACCAACACAAACTGTGCAGCAGCAGATGAGCTATCGTCTCTGACTTTACATCTACAGGGTGGACCAACAAGGTAGGAGTGTCTAATAGAGTGGACAGTGAGTGGACACAGTGTTTAAAAACTCCAGCAGCACTGCTGTGTCTGATCCACACAGACCAGCGCAACACACACTAACACACCACCACCACATCAGTGTTACTGCAGTGCTGAGAATGATCCACCACCCAAATAGTACCTGCTCTGTCAGGGTCTATGGGGGTCCTGACCACTGACAAACAGGGTAAAAGGGGGCTAACAAAGTATGCAGAGAAACAGATGGACTACAGTCTGTAACTGTAGAACTACAAAGTGCACCTATATAGTAAGTGGAGCTGATAAAATGGACAATGAGTGTAGAAAGAAGGAGGGGGTCATAACGTTATGCCTGATCGGTGCATCACGATAACGATAAAATATCATCTTGCCCACCTCTATCTTGTAAACTAAAATACTATAAGCTAAACACCACATGGTGTTTTAAGAGGTTTTGTTTAATATTTTAAGGTTTTTGGGAGCAGCAAAAACTCATTAAAATGTTATACAACAGTTAGTTTCGGCCACGCAAGCTGATTGGTTGAGAAGCGTTCTAACTGCGCTGTTATTTCGGCATAACAGCACATTTTTTTTTCACAAACACGATCATTCCGCTGAGACGCCATTGCTATTAAATAAATAATTGTATTTACTTACATGTGCTAATGACGTAAGCGAAAATCATGACTCCAAACTTTTGAATAGTAGTATATGCAGAAGATGCGTGCAAGAAGGAGGGTGGAAAAGGCCTTCACTCAGGCTGTCTAAACACATCCCTCGTTTCTCAACCATCACGCTAACTACGTGATTAAGGCTGCACAGCACACTCATGCACCAGTTTACTATTGTTAACCAACATCTTACTAAGCTATATTAAAAAGAATGGTAACAATGATTAGTCAACAATGTCAATTATGGAAAGATGTTGATACATTGTTTACTTCAAATAAAAATAAAATAAAAACACCTCTCGTGCTCTGTAAGAGGTCTTCAAATCCAGACCATGAAACCAGTTTCAAGTCCTGGGATTTGTAACTGCTGACACTTGGAGGCCAGTCAGCTGCACCAACAGTTCAGGTGGTGGTTTGTGAAATGGTTTTGGCTGTTTTGTTGTGCCACAAAAGAAGAAAACGTTGTAACAAAGTGGCGCTATAACTAGGCAAAGTGCTTATGGTTTAATTAACTAATTAACTGAACAACAGTCATTTACCAATTCTTGAAATGATTGTTAATTGTAGCCCTAATGACTGTACGGTCAGTCATGCACAGCAGGCTGTCCTGTATAACTTGTCCAGTGCCACAAAACGCATTTGATTTACACACCACATCATGTCCACGCAGCCATGCGACCAAGCTGCCCGACACTTCCACTGGTGTGACAGGCCAGGCTGCAATGTTCTGGCAGGGCTTGAGAGGGCTGTGCAGTGCCAGACAGGGGCTGAGAATGCCTCCGGAGCTCCGGCCACAGCCAAGCATAATTCATTAGTGCTGGACTCTACATCATTGCCCCCCTTCTTCCTCCCCTGGGGGGTAGCTTAATGGAATCTCCATCAGGAGCTCCTCAGTTACAGGATAGCCCCGGCGCAAGAGGGAACCTTACGACAATAGAGACTGCCACTATCCATTGTTCAAGTTTTGGTAGTTTGGGAAAAGAGGTTGCCATGGCAGCTGAGGCCGAGTCAAAAATGACAGCAATTTGAACTCCAGTACAGGGACACTTTATTTTAGGAAGTGAGTACAAAAAGCCTGACGCACTGTCATTAAATGTTGGGCTGGCTGTTCAAGTGAAGTGCTTGTTACACTGTTTTGGGCCTACTTGACTCTCGGTGAAAAGAAGTTAGAGAAAGCACAACTGACGTTACTTAAGTGGTACTTATCTCCTCCACAGCAGGTCCAATATTTTTAATCCAGCAGATCTGAGAAAATCTGTCAGCATTGCTGTTCAAATTAAGACACTGTCTGGAATAACAGTGTCTGAATGTAACCCCAAAGCTTTCAATACTCTGACTCCCAAATACAATGATGGCCTCTGAAAGATGTGATTAACTTTGCATTTTTTCCCCATGTAATGAGTTTCGCAGTTGAGTCAATAGGTGTGTAAGTATGTGTGCATTTGGGGAAGAGGTTTCTACAGTGGAAAGGAATAGGCACTTCATTCACATTCCCAGTAAATGACACAACAGGGGCCATACACACAAAACTGAGAATAATGAGGCTGCAGTCATGGCGGTTCATTGTTCCAGGAGCACCAATGAGGAAGGCCACGGAGAGAAGCAAGAATACACCCTGCACAGCCTGCAGTGAAGAGACATCAGCGACACTGGCAAATACGACAGCAAAAGGGTATGTAAGCAAAGATTTTAAAACACTATAGGTGCTGTGAAAGGGGATGTGACCTCACAGTGACGATTTGATTATGATTTCACTACAATTTAAAATTATT